TGTATGGAATTATATAGAATTTTTTGGAATTATCGGAGTACTAGATTAAATTATGAGAATTACGAAAGTGAAGTAGTTTGCCCCTAGCGTATATTGGTTCGGTTTGACAGTGAACGTATGATAATTAATTAGGCCGCTATAAATATTATCTAACTATTTCATGAATGGATTAAACTACAATTCATTATGGAAACAGCGCGAATAAAACACAGCTTGAGCTATTTTTATTGTCAAGTTGAACGCAATTAATTTGATAATAAAACAATATGCGCTTTCACAGTGCAATGCATCTCATCGAGTTCAAGTTCCACACAATAATTTTTCCGAATATACATTATTTATTCAAATTTGCGTACTATAATTAGTTTATTTACTGTTAATATTGAACAAAAACAAAAAAAACGTCCCAATCTCAAGTTTAAAACGAGAAACAAACATTAATCATGGAATGATAGATTTTATATTTTCACATTTCAGTTTGTACCGTACGACAAGGGAGCTACAAAAACAATTTTGCGATTGGATGACTGTGAATCATTTGAAAACAGGCAAATTCACGTACTTTCAGAATGTTTTGAACAGTAGAAGAAAGAAATAATTAAAAGAAACGACTCCAAACTTTCACGAATTAAGATTGTCAAGAATCACTCACAACGTTATCGTTTTTTAAATATTGACTTTTAATGATATCGGCGCCTACTCTTCATATGCAACCCATTAATGTGTGTCAACAATAAACAGAGAATAATTCACCACACGCGTATTGATCAAGTTTCCATTTCAATCGATCATTAAGTTTTGTTTATTTATTGCAGTCAAGAAAAAGTTGTTTTGGATTCAATTCAAAAAATTTCGCTTCCAATTTAGTGAGTGATCACACATCAATTATCATCGCTAACTTCTATGCGAGTCTCCAGCGTATTTGCGGGCGATAGTTCAATCATTATCAATGATCGTTTGTCACTTGAAAATACATTTGATTTGGTTCAAGGCAATTGCAAAAATTAAGCAAAATAAACAAACAAACAAAGTCATTTAATTGGTAGGAAATTTAGTTGGAAAATTCGTTAAAGAATATTGAACATTGTTCGAAAACCTAACGAAAGTAATAAATTTTTAAGTATCGTAATAACGCGAAACAATTAAATTTCAAATAACTGTGCTGTCACTATTTCTGTCAACTCTTCACACTCGCAAATCATTTCAGCCGAATGAATGTGTATAATTTTATTTATCGCAATTGCAGACACTAGACAGGCTCATTAAAGCAAATTGAAGTGAATGAATCGCGTGCCGCAATGACATTTGTTTCGCATACTTCAATTCTTCTCAATTGATTTGTATCAATTGACAGCCGTATTCAAAGCAGCATTTTTCATCGTCATCATAGTTTCATATTTTAAGCACACACACCACATTCCATTGGTGTTGGTTAATAGCCGTTCACGCATTAAATATTTGTTTCTCATTCTCTACTACAATTGCCAATATTCTCATGAATACATTACGAAATCAGAAAAATACATGTCGGATCAAAATGTCCAACAAAGTAGCATAAGGTGATAGCTCAAAACACGATTTTTAATTTTTACACCTTCAATAACTTGTACGATTTAACAAAAAAAGAAATGTAATTTGTTTTAAAATTGTTTATAAAATCAATCGTATCTCGTCTGTACAACTTTCACTTACGAATTTATCTCATATGAATTTTTTATTATAAAAAAAATCAAACATTGAAATTTCGCCAATTAAATTGTTTTTGTTCCAAAAAATTGATCTTATTATATACACGGGTTTTTTACGCTTATGGCGTAAAATGTCTATTTCGACACAAATATTTTTTTTCGTCTGTTTTTCGTATTTTTTAATGACAAAATAATATTTAATTATAAACAAAACACATGTGAAACGTCGCCGGTTTATTTGACAAGAGTTCGACGTCGACTGAGTCATGAGAACTTACAAATTACGTTTTAAAAGTCAAACACGGTGTTGCGGTGCGCTGCCTTCGTCGCATGCATTTTATTTTTCACTGGAACAAGCGTCAAGCACGCGGTTATTTGCTATGCGTCAAGCACGCGGTTTATTTACTCGTGCGTATGTACGTACATTAATCCGTTTTTTCATATATTTACAATTTTATCACTTGATCTGAAATTACAGATCATATTTAGATGACTTCTGAATGAACTGATACCAAAAATTATCACAAGGTCACTTTTATCTTTTGTGTAAAGTTTTATTGTAATTTTATTATTTAATTTTTTCATAAAATAACTGTACAAAATCGTTTGTTGCAATAAATTTAATGAAAAATCGTTTAGCTTTAAAATGTGTATAATATAGTGGGGAAGAATTTACATAATCTATACGTTTCTTAGATTCTTATATTTATCTTTGGCAATGGCAAGTAATCGGTCAAACTCTTGCATTCCTAATGCCTCCACCATTTTACAAAATAAACTTTCTTTGTTTTGCATCAGTGTGTATGGCTCATCAAATTCCACAGCAACGCCACCTTCCATCACCAGAACGCGATCGGAATCGATAACCGTATTGAGTCTATGGGCCACAGTTATGACGGTCGAATCTATAAATTTATCTCTAATTGTCCGTTGAATCATTTCATCCGTTCTGAAAACACACAATTTAATTAGAATACATAATGTTTTTACAGTAATCTAATCGCTGATTAGATTAACAATAGTAAATAAAAGACGCACCGAAGATCAACGTTAGCCGTTGCTTCATCGAGTATTATGATACGATTTTTGCGTAAAATTGCACGAGCTAAACATAGAATTTGTCGTTGTCCGATACTGAAATTCTGCCCGTGCGCTAATACGGGCATTTCCAATCCACCGCCTTCGCTAATAAACTCTTTCATTCCGACCATTTCCAAACCGTTCCAAATGTCTTCATCACTATATTCTTCAAACGGATCCAAATTTCTAAAAAATGATAATATTTTAGTACAAATTCAACAATTTCAAACACAAATAAATAGAAGTAGCACCTTCTCAAAGTGCCGGAAAAAAGAGTTGGTTCTTGGGGTATGATTGAAATACGCGATCGCAGTACATTCAATTCAAGCGAAGATGTATTAACATTGTCTATTAAAATATCACCATCGACCATTGCCAATCGGAAAATTGAACCAATTAATGACGATTTCCCAGCTCCTGTTCTGCCAACGACACTGACTTTTTCTTTTGGCTTCAGTGAAAATGATAAGCCACGTAAGACTGGTTCGTCAGAAGCCGAATATCGATAAAATACTTTTCGAAATTCGATTTTTCCCAGCTTTGGCCAATCGGCCGCTACAATTTGCGGTATTTCAGGCTGCTTCTCTGGCTCCAAATCGCTATATTCAAGAATTCGCTCAACTGACATCAAATGGTTTGATACTTCGGCACCTGCAGAATTCAATATAGAGCTAGTGTAAATTTGATGATTTTTGTAAAAAAAAATTATATTGATACTTTCTTTGACGTACTCCCCACTGCAATAGTCCAGTTAATGAAAGCGCCTGTGTTATAGCTAAGCCCACGCGATCTCCAGTTACACCTGCAAAAAATAATAGAAAAAAAATATTGTTTTCCCCGTGAAAATGTTTCGCATGGCATACATACTGTTATTGATTAAAATAAAATAGTAAATAACACAGCCAACGAATAGGTACACCATCAAATCAAGTGACATTCCAAATCCCGATGACGTTCCTTGCAAAAGATAAGATAAAACTATGTTTAAATCAATGCAATCATAACTAACAATCTGACGGTCTCCGCAAAATTAAAAGCCTACCGATATACATATACCACGTGCCAGTGTTCAAATCTTGATGATTTTCATATTCTTCACGCAGTAAATTCTGTGCTTGAAACGCTCTTATCGTTGATAGGCCGCCCATTGTCGCCGAAATATGACTAAATACCGGAGACTTTGCTGGAAATTTATGAATCGATTAGTCATTTAATTCAATTGTCTTTAACATGAAGAATGGTTACATACTTATTCCTTCAAATCGCTTAATATTCGTTGAACTTTTTAAATAAATGTTACGTGCGATGATGAAAAGAACGGCCATTATCAGTATCACTATTGAAAATTTAACGTTTGTATAAACGGTGACTAAAATGGCACCAACCATTGATAAATTGATTTGCGTGGCGTCCAGAAATGATTTTGGCAATGCTTCATCGGTGCTGCCCATATCTTTGGACAATCGATTCATTATTCTGCCAGATGTGTTGCAATTAAAGAATCTCATCGATGTGTGGATTAAACCACTGAACATTGAATCGTGCAGCTTTTGAGATGCAACCGCACAAAATCGAAAGAACGTCACAGATCTGGTTAAAGCGATTATAAGCAACGATGCCATTATTCCCGCATAGATATATGTATACGTCTCGGTTGACCAGTCATTCGATGACGATTCATTCAGTATTGATGGATTTGATGAATTCACGGACTCGTTTATGAGTTTCATTTGCTTCGATTCAAATGTTCGGTTTTCTTCTTGTCGTATCCAATAAGATACCCATATATCAGCAACACTGGCCAAAATTTGAGAGAGCAGGAATGAAATGACTAGAAAAACTAAAGTAAATGGTTTTTTTGCTGACTTTAGATAGTTTATAGCCAATGATCCTTTGACTTTTCCTTTCGATGAAGCTTCTAGTGCATTTAGCAATTCTTTCTCCTCGTCGGCTTGATTTCGATGCTCTTCTGGCGTTTTTTCATTATTTAGACACGTTTTGGCTGCTAAGCTATTCTCTAATGTTACCGTTGAGTTTTGTCGGGGAATATTCGCTATATCATCATTCTCAATAGATTTATCGTCTCCGTTCTCTTCAGTCTTATTCAATATGCTGGTAAAATCAATTCCACTTTTTAAGATATCGTCATAGTTTCCCTGCATTTCAATTTTACCCTAGAATTTAATGAAAAAGAAAATTATTATCGAATCAAGTTTAGTTTTCAGATTGATTACATTTTTCAAAACAATAATCCAATCGGCTTCCTTCAGAAAATGTACAGAGTGCGTGATTAGAATACGTGTAGCGTGTTGTCTTGCCAAGTACCCATTTCGACCAAGACATTTGTTGAACAGATGTAATTGCACATGATTGTCGACAGCACTCAGTGGGTCATCGATTAAATATATATCGGCTTTTCTATACATTGCTCGAGCCAAACTGAAATGAGAATAATCAACAAAATTGAATGTTAAATATTTTATCGATCGATTCATTTAATACACATCTTACTTGATTCTAACTTTTTGACCCCCAGAAAGGCCGGCTCCATTTTCACCAACCAAAGTCATATCGCCATCACTAAGCTGACTAAAATCCTTTGCCAATGCTGTGCTTTGAACAATTTCATTGTATCGCATTCGATCCATTGATTGGCCAAATGTGATATTCTGTCTAATCGACGAGGTAAAGATCCAACTCTCTTGGCTTGCATATGACACCGTACCATTGATTCCCAATGAGCCTTGGGTCAGTGGTAGTTCTTTTAGCAAAACTTGCATAAATGTCGATTTACCACATCCAACCGAACCAACGACAAACACCAATTTTCCTTTCGGTATTTCCACTTCGATGTCTTGCAGTGCAAATGATTTGTGATCGGTTGAGTTTGTTTGCGTGCCATTTTTGTATGACCCAATTTTCTTTTTGATTTTTACACATTTTTTGTCATTGCTAATGTCGGCCCATCTGGCAGAAATATTTTTCATTAAAATTGCAATATTTCGTGATTCCAATTGATCTTTGTCGATGTGATCTGAATCGATTTTTTCGATTTGTTGGCCAGTCTCTTCGTATTCTAGAAACATTTGCAAACGTTTAAATGAGACGAGTACCTCGCCGAACTCAGCCAAACCACGAACAAAGGTTTGACACATGGCATGCGACACCGCCATAAACAAATAAGAAATCATAAATATTTTTGACACCAAAATATGTTCACGACCATACAATAAAATAACGGATAAAACTGTACAGAAGAGTGCCATACGTGTGGTGAACAAATTGAATGTCATGTATAATGCACGGACGTATGCATTTTTTAGCACCATTTTCAATTCCAGTTGTCTTGCCGTTGCAATCAATTGCGCAAATGGCTGTTGCCAACAATACATCTTAATAACTTGAACGCCAGACACAATTTCATCCATGAATCGAACACGTTCATCCGTTCGTAATGCAGTTTTGAAACGAATTGCGGCAGACAATTTTCCAGCATAGCCTGTTGATTCATTTTATTATTAGAGTGGGCACAGCATTTTAAGAATGGAAATCACTCACTTTGAATAGGCACAATAAGGAAAACAATGGCCAATCCTATGAAAGCAGCCCATCGAATTTCATTCCATAAAATATATGCAGCTGCGATTGTCATTATCGGTGACGTCCTGAAAGCAAACGCAAATCAATAATCTATTTCTCATTTATACATGAATTTCAATTAAAATTTACCATAAATTATGGATGACAACAGATACAATATCAAAGCGATTTACATCATTCGATAATAAATTGACTAATTTCCCTAAAAAAAAACAACAAACACATAGTAGGCACGTTGAAATTCATGAATCAAAAGAGCTATTTAATAGTTGTTCTCTAATACCTGGTGCGGTATCGTTTAAGGCACGTTGTGATAACCGAAGAGACTAAACGAACGAGAAAGAGAAAAGATCAAAGTGTGAGTATGATAAGCTAAATAGATAAAATCAATGTAAACCTTTACCTTGCGGTAAATGAGGCTGCACATACTAACTCTAACTCTCATTCCATAGCAATATCCCAAAAAGAAATAATGAAGTAATGAAATTCCGGCAAAAATGGTTATAACGAATATCGCTGTACCATATATGAGAGCATCTTCTCGTTTCATTTCGGAGGCTTTCCTACAGAATGGATGCAAATACAATAAGCATATGTGGGCCACAACAATAGCAACGAAATTATTCTATATTACCGAAAATATGATAAAAGTTTTTCCAATAAAAATGGAATAATTAATCGTATGACGACATCATTGAGGAAACTCAATATTCCCATAATAATCAGTTCAAACCAAAATGCTTTTACTACTGCTCGTACTAAAGATGGTTTCGATTTTTTCTTGCATTCCTCCAGCCACGTCCTATGCAAAAAAAGACGGATACATTTCGTTAATCATTAAATTCCATTCAACTAGAGCATAAAGTGTTTACTTTTCAATTCTGTCACCAAGTACGCTGGATCGATCTCTTTGAAGCGGTTCATTGGCATCGTTTGCGTCTAAGACTTTGTCGTATGTTGTCTTGAAGATAGGTATTGCCCATATAAAAAATATTTGTGATATAAAACTTGCAGATTCACGAGGGTTCTCACGCAATTTCCTTTTCCCGGATTCCATTCTTTTCGCTTTGTCAAATGTTTGCTGTCATTTCTTTGCGCTAGCCACTACAACTGAAAAGTAAATATTAGGAAGAACATAGAAATTAGTTTCAAAATATCGTGAAAATATCAAATTTATAGGGTTATCTTCATCAACAAGTTTTTTTTCAAGTTGATAAGATTAAAGTGATTGCTCAACTTAAAGTTTGTTCGAAATTATGATTCGGCAGGGAATTTACTGCAATCCAAATCCGCATTGCGTTCACAGTCAGCAAGTTGATTTATTATTCTTGTTCAATTTATTTATAAACATGTCTTTTTCGCATTAATTATTATTACTAATATTTATCCAGAGTGTTTAATGGAAGATTCTCGCACTTTCAGATTTATTTGAATTGAAATGATGAAGTTGACGAAGTGTAATATAAAGCAAATGCAATGTTTATATCTTTAAAGTGGACTGTTTGAAGAGAATTTATCTTACTTTTCAAACAACAAGTTTTTGTATATTTTTGTGACAATCAAATAAAATTCTATGTGGATTTTCAGCTGTGGTAGCAAAATTGGAAAAGTGACGCATGCATTCAGAGTGCTCTGCAATAAAATGTTGCAAAACTTTCAATAAATAACAACAAAACGTTGATTCACGATGATGGCAAAAATTGATTTGAATAAAAATCATAACCCATCGTCGTGGTAAAACAATTGTACTAAACTCAATTTATAATTTATATTTATTGTGATTTGTGCATTTATCTGTTTGTTATCAGAGAGAGAAACTGGCGAAAATACTGAAAAATTCCGATATTTTTTTTGGTATAAAATAAACTTCATATCAATACAAGTATTTCATTGAAATTTCATTGTCAACTTTAAAAACCATTGAAGTTTGAACAAACTTGGAACTTATTTTCAAATGGCCCTTTTTTAAATGATTATGCAGCCAATATTGTGCAGTGGAATATTTGTTAACTATTTTCTATAATGTTTTTCATTCGTTTTTCTCGATGATTATACGAAATCAATAGCTGATACAATAACAAAAGTGCAAATCGAATTAAATTCACTCTCGTTCAACGCAATTCGATGCCAACTTAATCAATCTTAAACTAATACAATTTCATTTATAAGTAGATCAATCAAATGGTAATTTAATCGAGCTTACGAAAACAAATCAATTGAAAACGATAAATAACGAAATAATTAATAATATGCACACAAATTAAGTCGGAAGAAGTCACCGCAACCGAACGATTTATTTTTTGTTTAACTGGTATCGGCAAATGTCAGTGCTGAACTGTGTGATACAAGCACGGTTCGATAGTTGACAGAACAGACTTAAAAAGAAGACACATATGTTTGTCTCGCTCTTGCCGCCATTAAATCGAAATGCATCGAAGGAAGCGACAAACAAAACAAAATAAACCAACACATATGATTTGAGCTCATCGCTATAGCTATATAAACAAGTTATATTCCGTAGTCCGCGTGTGAATGTGTTGCTTTCCTTTTCATTATACTATGTTCCGCTCACTCCACCACAACAGACGAAACAGCTGATTGCATGTTTTATTCGCATGCTTGTCTAAATGAAAGTATAGATTACATCCTTTTTTCTTTCTTTTCTTTCAAAAAGTAAATGTATCAATGTCAGAAGCGTACTTTGAACTTTTGAGCAAAATAAATTTTTACAATCGAAAAATGCTCAAAATATTCCTTTATTGCATACAAATAAAATGTGTACTTTAATTTTTATGGTATTTTCTTTTTAATTGTTTATTCATTAATAACAAAACAGTCAATAACAATGGTAAGACAAAATTTTCGTTTTTTTAGGCTTTTTATAATTCACAGTTGTTTGGTTTTGGCAATTTCTAGAAATCGTTCGAATTCTTTGTGACCAAGAGCTTGAACCATTTCCTTGAAATATCCTGAGGTTTTTGTCAATAGATTGTAAGGCCTATCATATTCGACGCATTTGCCTGCGTCTATCACCAGAACGCGATCGTAATCGATGATTGTATTCAAACGATGCGCAATCGTCAAAACGGTATGATCGGCAAATTTTGTTCGGATTGTTTGCTGAATCAGTTCGTCGGTCCTAAAATAAAATCGAATGATACACATAAATACTAGCCATAAGCCAAAAATGGCCGAACAAACGTTCAATGCCAAACTAACTGAGAATCAACATTCGCTGTGGCCTCATCAAGAACTAAAATCGTATTCTTTTGTAGAATTGCACGAGCCAGGCACAAAATTTGCCGCTGGCCGTTGCTAAAATTTCCACCGTTTGCTAAAACATTTAAGTCCAATCCATGGCTTCCGCAAGCAATGTGTCGCATTTTAATATCATCAAGTGCACTATAGATTTCATCATCACTGTGCTCATTGAGTGGATCCAAATTTCTGAAAGAATGAAAAGTGAATTCTCTTTCAATTTGTATGTTTTTTTTTTTTTTTTTTGATAATTTACTGTCTGAGTGTGCCAGAGAATAGTAACGGTGTTTGTGGAATAATCGAAATATTTGATCGAAGTAATTGTAAATCAATAGTTTCGGTGTTAACGCCGTCTATAAGTATTTCGCCTTTTACATAAGCCATTCGAAATAGAGCGCCAATTAATGACGATTTCCCAGCTCCCGTTCTGCCGACGACGCCAATTTTATTTTTTGGCAAAACATCAAATGATATTCTATGTAAAACCGCTTCGGATTCGTACGCATACTTATATGTGACGTTGCGAAATTCGATACGACCGTCACTGGGCCAAGATTGCGTCATTTCTTTTCGTTTTTTTGGTTGGTATTCTGCTTCTAAGTCACTGTATTCTTGTATACGTTCAACAGATATCAATTGATTTGCCACTTCACATGAATGCCGAATGCCCCACTGCAGTAAAGACGTCATTGTCAGTGATTGAGTTACAGCCAAACCGACTTTATCGCCCGAAGTACCTGAATTATTTATATGAAACACATGTCATATGTATGCGAATGTGTACTTTTTATAAATAAATATTTTCAAGTACCAGTGTCGAATAGTAGGAAGCTAAAAATTACAATAAACACCAAAACAAAACACATGGCATCGAGTGCAAAACCAAATGCACAACTTGTTGAAATAAATGCAAACCATAATGAAGTATGACTATCTTGATGTCGGTCGAATTCGTCAATTAGAATTTTTTCAGCACTAAAAGCTCGAATTGTTGACAAACCCTCCAAAGATACAGACATATGTGTATACAAAGGAGAACGACCTGTTAATTTGTCACAGTTTTATTAGAAAATGATTTATAACCAAACACTATCTTATCAATCAAAATATTTACTTATGCTCTCGAGACGCTTTAAACTTTTGGAGGTTTTAAGGTAAACACCTCGTATAATCCAAAATACAATCGCAATTACAGATAATGGAATCAAAACTACCGGAATTACAAAGGCAGTTAAAATGATTGCGCCACACATATTCAAATTTGTTTGAATGGAATCTAAAAACACTTTTGGTAGACTTTCATCCACCGTACTGAAATGGAAATGTTGGAATTCAAAAAAAAAGACTGAAACAAGACATAAATTATGGAATTGTTTACCCTATATCACGCGAGAAGCGATTCAAAATTCGACCTGCAATTTATGTAAAAACCAATTAAGCTAAAAATAGATAAAATATTTGAAAAAGATTGGTTTTATCAAAATTTTACCGGGTGGGTTCAGATTGAAGAATCTCATCGATGTTGATATCAATGCTTTGAACATGTTATCATGTAGGTTTTGCGAGGCTTTTATGCAAACATTATAAAACGATATAGATCTCGCAAGAGCAAACACGAATATTGATGCAACTAAAATGCTGTAAATTACGATACATGTACTTGTACTGAGGACATCTGTGCTCCCACGTGCCGTTGCATTGAGTGCAATTTGATTGTACATATGTCGCGTTTCTTCTTGATATATCCTGTAGTTATTTATACAATGAACGGTCAAATAAAAACAATTTTAATGATTATTGAGCAAAAATGAATAATCTCACCAAAATGAAACAAAATAGTCCGTTCCGCTTGCTGACAATTGGGCGAGTATGAATAGTAAACATATGATAAACAATACGATGGGCTTTGCACCAGATTGAAAATAACTAAAAAATGACGATCTTTGTGATTCGGTGGTGCTTTCTTCATAAAATTGTAGCGATTCGATGAGACATGGGTCAAATTCACTCTCACGCCGCATACTCTCATATTCGCTATTCATTGATGTTATTGACAATGACTTTACTGACACTCGTGATACTTTACGGCGTCTTTGATTTTCGTTCGTTTCTTGTTTCTGCTTTTGTTCATCGATTTCGCTGTATATTAAGGGGAATTCAATCGAATTCAAATCATGCGGATGCCCTTGAGCACTTATTTTTCCTTTTTTTTAATGATGAAACAAAGATAAGATCAATTAATGACCAGTGTAAACTAAGGATTGAAATGACAAATCGTGTAATTTCTTTATATTTCGAAAGAAGAATATTGATTATAATTTTGAGGCGGCGTAATTAATACAAGTACACTCAAAATTCATTTAAATTATAAAGTGAGTCAATATTATACGAAAACAATCACACAACTTGTCGTAAAAATCGTAAATGTACTAACCATCATTCATTACGATTAACCAATCGACATTTGTCAAAAAATGCAAATGATGCGTGACTAGGATGCGAGTTGATTTTTGTTTTGCTAAAATTCCATTCGGACCTATACAATCTGTAAACAGATGTAATTGCACATGATTGTCGACCGCACTCAAGGGATCGTCTAACAGATAAATATCAGCCTTTCGATACGCAGCTCTTGCCAAACTGGAAAAATACAAATTCAATAAACTCGTTGTGGTTTTATTTAAATTTCATAGTACTTGATGCGTGAAAATTGTCCCGTGGATAGCATTGCTTTTTGTCCAATTAACGTCTGGTCCGCATATTCAAGTTGATTAAAATCCTTTTCCAAGTCGCATGCCTTCACCACCATTTCATAACGTTTCCGATCAAATTTTTCACCAAATAGAATATTCTGACGAATTGACGAATCGAAGACCCATGGTTCTTGTGATGAATACGATATGGTACCGTTTAATGTTAACAATCCAGTCTCTGTGGGTAGTTCACGTAAAAATGCTTGTAATAAACTTGATTTTCCCGATCCAACGACACCAGTGACGCCAATTAATTTTCCCTTTTTACGAAATTCCAAATTTATATCAGACAAATTGAATGACATTTGATCGGATGGTGTCCATCGTGCGTTCATCTTTCGAGTACAAATGGTAAAATTTTCGCTGTCGATATTGTTTAGTACTCGATGAAATTGCTCCTAGAAGTAATGATCAATTGTGCATCACTTAAAAAAAAAGTCGAAAGAAAGGCGCTAATCCATACCTCTGGGTTTTTTTCGGTTAAAGTGTTGGTACTTGGCAAAGTATTTAATACTTTTTCTTCACTTTCCAAGAAGCTTTGAATCCTCTCAACGGCAACGAGCCCTTCAGCAATCTCGGTAATGCCACGTACAAACATTTGTGAGAGCGTTTGTGCAATCACCGAAAAATATGATGAAACCACGAAAACTTTTGCAGCCGTTATGTCTTGTTCGCCATACAGGAAAATTATTGATAAAAGTGAACAAAACAGAGCAATTCGCGTGGTAAACATGGCGAATGTCATGTACAATGCACGCACATATGAATTTTTTCGAACAACCTTTAACTCAAATTTACGTGCCAAGGCAATTAAATTTGTAAAGTGTTTCTGCCAAGCCATCAATTTGATCATATGAATGCCGGAAATAATTTCGTCCATCAATCGAATTCGTTCGTCAGTACGTTTGGCAGTTTGATTTCGAAAAGTTACAGAAAGTTTTCCGGAATAACCTGTCGTGAAAACAAAACAAAATAGTAAAGGGAACTATGTGTGTATATTTTTAAAGTCGCAGCATTACTCTGAATAGGTACAATGACGAATACAACCAAGAGGCCCAACATGCCAGCCCATTTGATTTCAATCCATAGTAAGTATCCAACGGTAACAACTAGTAACGGAGCCGTCCACATCGCATTTATAAACATAGACATCGCGTCAAACCTATACACATCAAATCTATGTAAATCAACAATTTTTTGGTTTGTATTTTTATCTACCATACCTAAACACATCGTTCGATAGAATGTTCATAATTTTGCCATGTGATGTATTTTCTAGTGTTGCATGTGATACCCTTAAAGCCTTCAAGTGAATATTATGTACAGTTCTTTCCATTATTTACTTTTTAAATTAAAAATTAAATTTAAACTTATTTAAAACATACTTTACGGTAAAGGATACTTCCAACGGCTACTCTTACTTTCATTCCATTGTAATAGCCCGTCATAAAGAGTTGATTGATTGTCAAAACGCCCAAGCCACTCAGAACAACCATGCCGCCAGCATACAAAACGGCCTCATTATGGCTTACTTCAGATTTTGATCTGAAATGAACATGTTTGTTTCTTTTTATTTGGATTCTTTTCAAATGGAAATTCACACATACTTGAAATATTGTAGAAATCGACGAAAAAGTTGTGGCTGCGCAATTTTAAGTATAACATCGTTCACTAGACACAATAGTGCCAAAACCAAGTATTCTTTCCAAAATGTCTTTGCGATGGCTCTGAATAATGAAGCGCATTTCTTTTCGTTTTGTTCCTGGTCCCAAAATCTATTTGTTAAACACATGCATTTAGACCATTTACAATTATTGCCATTAATGATTGAGGTTACCTTTGTAATTTATCAGCTAAAACCTTTGATTTGTCGCATTGTCGAGATTGAAAAATATCTTCAGTTTCCAATGGTTTTGAGGAGCCTTCTTTTAGTAATGGATACACCCACGCAAAAAACAGCACCGAAAATATATTGGCTCCATCACGTGGATTTTCTTTTAGCTCTATTTTCACAGAATCCATGATCTTTTACAATTCATTATGTCTGTTCGGGAATTTCAAGTTTTGTAACTGCTATTTTGTATAAAATTAAACGTTGCACTCTTTGAACTGATTACTTCGAATGTTTACAGTCCAACCGTAATGTACTTTTCTTTATTCTACAGATCACTTTGAATAGATCCATTACGTTCGACCATCGATAAGTAACTATTTTTTATTACTCATGGACACATCGGCTCATATCACATTCTTATCAATATTGAAGTCGTCGTTTCTCTCACGTCTCTCAACTTTGACCACCAACAATTTACAATTGTGATAAAACAAAAATTGAACTTAAGATATTAAAATGAAGAAGATATTATTGATATGTTGAAAATAATAAATTATCACGGGGTTATGAACGGATATGGTTTCGTATAAATATATGCACAACGATTATAAATTATCATTCATTTTTATTTAAAAAAATTTACATATAAGAAGTGAGAAGATTTGAACAGAAATTCATATAAAATACACATTATAGGAAATTATGTTATATTTCGTTTTCACCCACTTGACCTCTATTTTTCAAAATCAAAACGGACTTTTTTCCATCAAAAAAATGTCAAAAAAGAAAAATTATTTCGTTAAAGTCGATTATTTTGTACAGTTTTTTCGCAGCCAAAAAAAAAATCTCAAACTAGGAAGTCTTCATGTCACCGCATTGTTATTTGCATGTAATAATGCTTTGCAATGTGAAACATTGTTATGTATTCAGCTTTTGATTTCATTGTTAATCTATTTTTAAAAACTCCCATACATACACTTGCTATAATCTGATTCCTATGCTTTCACAATTTCAATCAGTTTTTTCTTTGTTCACAAGAAATGTCTTGTCAACTTTTTTCGAATTTCAACATCAATTTTATTTAAATCGATTTTTATTCACAACTCTGTCACGCAACGACTTATTTCACGGTCAAATGTAAATCACTTTTCGGTTTGTTGAGAAATTCGTTCATATTATTAGGTATCCCTGTGATTGAGTTGCTTACCCGTTAAGTATTTGTGCATTACTAATCGCGTATGCCGTACGGAATAATGTGCTGAGTGGAAAACGTTCACGTTTGAGCTAAGCGAATTCCGACGAAAAAAAACCAACTCGGAAAATTTGACGAGATCGTACGAATTCACGTAAACTGTGTCTTGTGCACGTCCGTAGCCAAAAACTGGTTTTCAACAAAATAATTTCTACACATCAACAAACCTAATCATCTTGAACATTGAGAATTGCTATCATTGTTATTGGTATAGATGGACTGATTTGCATTCATGGAGAATGCGTGAGCGGGAAATTTTTTTCTAGACAAGAAAAATATTGATACCTAACCTAACCAAGTATTTAAAAAAAAATAAAATTTTCATTTTTTTCTGGTTTCATGGTTTCGCAAGAGAGCAAGATTGTGAGTTTTCTATCATATATCTCGCGTTCTCTAGATAAATAACGAGCTACTACATGCTAATTATGTTAAATTACAGTACAAATCGGGTATATTGTAAAGCACTAAAAGAAGCGTACATAATGAGCTATAAGCTACCTGATTCAAAAAAATATTGTAAATTCAACGTTCAAAAAATTATTTTTATTCAAAAATCTCATTTGATACAACATTTTCAATTTTGCCCTTTTGCGCGTATTTAAAATATATATGAAACTACTAACTGCCGAAAGACAATTGTATTCAATTTTTTTTATCCTGGTAAGTTTTTACAGGTTTCCAGTATTGCATTTTTGATCTAGTCACTATAGTACGATACATTTGTAAAAAAAAACCAGTATGAGAGCTTTTCGAGACTAAAACACCTTTCAATGAATGCACATGAGCTTATTTGATTGAAATTGAACATGTTTAGAAAACATATAGAATACGAATTCAATTAACAGCTCTCTTTTCTGATTCTGATTCTGATGCTAACGGTCTCGTTTTCCATTTCGTGATATTTTTCTTTTGTTTATATTCTTGATACGTTCGCGCCCTTGGAAGGCCTGCGCTCTGGATCCATGCATTACTCTCTTTTGGTCCACGGTAAATGCAAATAAGATTTCTTGGAATTTTCGATCATGAATTAAGAATATGAATGGACGATTAAAATTAATTCTCATTCGGCCTAAGACAAAACAACGAAGTGATCCTGTGGCACCTGAAGCTACTGAACCTCCTTCTGTACAATATCAGTTTTGAATAGAGTTTCGTTTTGATTCGTATTACGTAGGTTGCTCCATAATTTTTTTTAAAATGGTACTTATAGTGTTGCCCGATGTAAACCATTGTCATATTCGTAAAGTTTGATGTTTTGGTATGTATTCGTGCCCTGAACCTTTTGTCGTACGAACGCTATTTGTATTGTTTACAGTGACTGGTAAACTGCGACTCAACAAAAAAATGAATTTTACACGTGAAGATTTTCGTAAAATGATTTACTACGATTTTCGAAGTAAATTATCTCAACAACAGTGTTTCGATCGACTTCATTTGGCCTTTGGCAATGAAGCACCAACCCTTCAGACAATTTATAACTGGTACCGAGAATTCCGTTGCGGTCGTAGTTCGCTCAAAGACGAGTTTCATACAGGTCGTCCAAAATCGGCTGTTGTGCCACAAAACATCGATGCTGTCAGAAAACTGATTATGGAAGATCGTCATGTGACCTACCGTGAGATTGAGGCATCTTTGGGCATTTCATCCCACAGCATACATACAATTTTGCATGAACATTTAGCCGTAAAAAAGATTTGCTCTCGTTGGATCCCACATAAATTGACCGATGAACAAAAAATGGCTCGTGTGAGTTGGTGTAAAGAAATGCTCAAGAAATTCAATCGTGGTGCTTCAAAAGACGTTAATAAAATCGTCACTGGTGACGAATCGTGGATATATGCCTATGAGCCCGAAACGAAACAGCAGTCGACTGTATGGGTCTTCCAAAATGAAGATAACCCAACGAAAGTTGTTCGAGCAAGAAGCACTTCGAAGCGAATGGTCGCCTGTTTTTTCGGGAGAAGTGGTCATGTGGCAACCGTTCCACTAGAGGATCGTAAGACCGTCAATTCTGATTGGTATACCACCATTTGTTTGCCCGAAGTGTTTGGTGAAATAAGAAAAAACAACCACCGTCGCAAAATAATTCTTCATCACGATAATGCGAGCTCTCACACATCTTTTCAAACTACTCGATTTTTGACCGGTCAAAACATCGAACTGATGGGTCATCCACCGTACAGTCCTGACCTGGCACCCAATGACTTTTTTTGTTCCCAAGCGTGAAGAAAAAACTACGTGGTCAACGATTTTCGACACCAGAAGAAGCAGTTGAAGCGTTCAAAACACACGTTTTGGAGATATCACTTTCGGAGTGGCACGAATGCTATGACAAATGGTTTCATCGAATGCAAAAGTGTATCGATCATCTCGGGGAATATTTTGAAAAACAATAAAACCATTTTCGACAAAAAACAACTGTGTTATATATGTTTTTAAAAAAAATTATGGAGCAACCCTCGTACATACATCAAAATTACTTATATTTGCATTTTCAAACAATGATTGAAATCTCATATGCTTTATTGCCTGAAGCCAAAAAACGAATTTTGCATGAAACGATACGAACAAATCGTATTTTATACGAATTGCCAACTAGATCCAAATTCTGTATGATATTTCGTATAAATTTCAATGCATTTATTTTCTTTGTGTAGTGATTCGATTTTAATTTTTTTGACATTCGGAAATATTTAAAATTATCACATTTGGTCATATATTTTTCGTAAGAAATGTCTTGCTGTTTCATACAAAGTTCGTTCGTTTTCACATGGAATGGATTAAATTGCAAACTTCAGATATTGCGTCATCAGAATAAAGCAATATTACTGTGAATCGTGAAATCACTTTGGAAAACAATGTTACTCGTCATATTATTTAAATTTGTAATTTACGCAAGTCCGCGTTATCAATCCTCTTTATAAGTGCTTTCACAAAACCGTCCAGTAAATCAGTAGCATTCAGTATGTCGAACGCAACGGTTATCTGTGAAACATTTAAATCTTTCGATTCAATGTTGTCCGAAAAGAATATTCAACAAAAATACGAGAGATTTAAAACATTAAAATGTATAGTGAGTGAAAAAATTCACGGTTGTAATTTTTCGGTATATTTTATACCATCGTCTAAAAAAATCGTATACGCATCACGTAACAAAGTTTTGCAAGACAATGCAACTTTCATGGGACATCGTAATTATTTTACAAATGAATTTGAAAAATCGTTAGTTGCACATTTTGCAGAGTTAACAAAGGATTCAAACTGTTTATACATTCGCCTAATTGGAGAGTTGTTTCCAACGCAGAAAAAAATCGACTATGGCAGTCAAAAACGATTTGCTGTGTTTCATATAGAACAACGACTAGAAGAACGTGTGATACATTTTACTTGGAATGAAATTGTTGCAGCTTGTTCTTTATTGAATTTAGAAACGGTACCAATTATCAAAGATGTGCATGGGTTGAGTTTTGGAGATGTTTGGAAAAACTACAACATATATTTTGATTCGAAGTTTTCGACAAAGAAAAATAATCCATGTGAAGGTATGTTTTCGAATCGAGGCAAACGATGTGTTTTATGGGGACGATATTGATGAAAATGTAATAAGAAGAAGTGACGGGGTCTTGAATGCATTCAAAAATGCAAAGAAATTGGGAGTGCCGATATTTATCAAAAAACGAAATCCAAAATTTTTGGAGCGTCAACAGAAGTTATCAGGTGGTTCAAATTCAAGTGTACTGGATAAACTTATGTCACTATGCACACGACAACGCGCTTTTAATGTGGACAGTAAAAACGATTCCAAGGAAGAACAACTATTTGCTGATATGATTTTGGAGGATGTAAAACAAGATTATGTTCGTGAATTTCAAGGCGATTCAAATTACATTGAATTAGCAAGTGAAGATTTTTTTACTTATAAAACAAAAATGTTGAAACGCATACAGCCATTTATTCGAGAAATTTTGAAATCAAAAAATTCAAATGTATAAAAGCGAAGTGAAACTACAAATTCAATTTTTATAGATTTTAAAATGTTAATGTTTGCTGATATCATTTTTTTATCTTTCTTTGAATTTGCAAGTAAATTTTGAATTAAATAAAAACCATAAAAAAGAACATTTATTTTTTGTTTTTCTTTAAAATATATTGTTTATTGATATTTCGGTAATTATTCAAATAAATACATTGCTTATCTATTGAAAATCGTTTTTTTCGATGCTATTTTGTTGATAGTGTTCGGATGTGTGTCGCCGCAATTCTCCCAAAAGTCTATATGATTTATCGCAAAGGTTACATTTATACGTATTTTGTCCGACGTGTGTTCTTAGATGTTTATTCAAGTCAGCATTTTGAGTGTATCGGCGATCACAATACGAACATTTGAATGCTGCGAAAGAAGTAAATTATTTTAAATAGATCTCGGCCGAAAGCCAGATATTCTTGATTAATCTTACGTTTTTCACCGGTATGCGTGTACATGTGCAGCCTTAAGTTGTATAAAGATGTTTTTATTTGCTTGTTGCACACCTCGCACGTAAATACCTTCGTCTTTTTATGCCTCCCTGGAATTAAATTTCATGAAAATGGCTAATTAAATCGACGGCTCGAATATTCGTAGCTTTTATGTTAAAAAGCTATTCATTTGAATAGAGTGTATGTTAATCATTAACCTACGTTTATGTTCCATATAAGAACCCCTTGATCGCATCACAGAGCCGCAAATATCACATACGAAGCGGCCGTCGTCATGAACTTCGATATGCTTTTTTAGGCCATGCTTATCGAAAAATCGCTTTGGACATTTTGGACAGGCAACTGATTTAGTTGACGTGTGACGTTTCACGTGAGCCCGCAGATATGTTGGATTTTTGAAACTTTTACCACACGTCGAACATAAAAATGCTGAAAATCGAATATAAAAGCCAGATAAGTATTCAAAAATGTTGCAATGAATTTCATCATAAGTAGAGACTATTTCTCATAGCAATGTATGTGAGAAGGGGCGCTATGAGTAAAACTGAGGTGCAAAATATTAAAAGTTAAAAAATATCCAGATTCGAAATATTCTTAATAATTATATTTTTTAATAATTTAATATTCCGCATTGCTATGAGAAACAGTATCTAGACATAGGCCAAAAATATATAAGGCCTTTGCGATCAACACTTTAAAATTACATCGTTTATCGGTGTGTGTGAGTTCCATGTGTTCCTTGATTTGAAATCTTGTTCGAAATCGACTCTGGCATAAATCGCATACAAAACGCTTCTCTTCGGTATCATGGGTGGGTTTGTGAATTTCAAGCAGTAATTTTGTATGAAAGGACTTTGCACAATCATAGCATTTATAATTTTTGTGACTTTTATGATTTCTATTGATGTGTTTAATTAAACTGGGAGTAGTGCTGAATGATTTTTGACAATATTGACAATCAATTTTTGCCCCCTGACACAGGTGTTGAAAATATTCGCAGCGAGTACATTTTTTTAAACAAATCCGACATTTCGATGTTATTTCATGGTCTTTAAAATGTTCATTCACTTTGTGTATTGAAGAGAAACTTTGTTTGCATTTGTAACATTCAAAATCGGTGGAGGCCAAATTGTTGATGACCGCTCTTCCAGATTTAGTGTGTACTTTTTTTACTCCTACCGACTTCCGTGTACGCTTTCTTCTTTTTCGAACTGATCTTTCGATATCTGAACTGTCGACAGTCACTGATTGCTCCTCATTCTCATTGCACGACAAAATCACGTTCGGCTCTTCCACAAATATATTTTCAACTTGATCCTCCATTGAAAATGGTAGTTGCTTGGTTTCCTCCTTTTTGATATCAAGCGTTTCATCATTGCCTAACAATCTATCAGAGTAAATTTCATTCTCGCTATCAGCTGTATCAGGTTTTGTTACAAATACCGATGCTATCAAATCTTCAAACCTTTGCTCACTGCTTCGGACCAGATTATAAAATTCAAAAGCTGTATTCAACATTACCACACAATTTTTGCAGATATTTTTGGGCCTTATTTCATTTTCGTTCAATGAGAATTGGGCACATAACTCAATCAGTTCGGCTATAGTCTTCCCATTTTTGTTTACTTCGTACAAACTTCTCAAATCTTTTGATTCTATTGCGCACGTTCGACAATATTCAGAAAATTTCACATTTTCGGCGTTTTTATCCATTTTTATGAGATAATTTATGCTTTTTACTAATAAAAATAGTTCATTGTTTTGTATACTTGGATGGATGAAGCAAATTAATAAATGTATAAATTTCGTTTGACAGATGGTGACAGTTGCAGCTGTCAAAATTGTTGCTGTATAGCAAAAGCAAAATACCTTTGAATGATTCGGTAAAATGGTGATTTTTATTTATGAGTTTAAGAGAACATTTTTTTTTTCAAAGTTAAAATGGATTATCGATGAAAATGTTAACAATGTCCATCAACCGTTCTCATTTTTGGAACATACATGTTTATGACGAACAAACTGTGACTTATAACGGAATCGTTTTGGACAATTTTCACAGGCATATAAGTTATCTCCAACATGCCTGTGGCGTTTGTGTTGCATCAAATCGCCATTGTACTTATATGCTTGTCCACAAAACTCACAAACAAATGCTAAAAATGCGAAAAGATACAGATTTTCAAAATGAACATATAAAATATGTATTAAATTTCATCAGGATATTTACGTTTTTCATTCGAATGTGACAGCAAATGTCTTTTCCAGGCCTTTTTGTGAAACTTTTTTTTGCAAATCGCACAAGTATACTTTCGATCTTCGTCGGTGCGTCTATGAACTCCTGATGATACAAAAAAGCATTAATTGAAACTGAGAATAATTATATTTTGAATCCATACTCACTCATATGACTTGAAAGTCCCCTTTTGGAAGAGAGAACGGCCTTACAGATATTACAAACGACTTTGTAGTTTTGATGATTTCTCGTCTTATGTTCAATTAGTCGTTCCTTTTTATTGGTGCTGAAGTCACAATTGAGACATTTCAAGTTTTTCTCTTCGTGTACTTGCTGGTGTATACTTAAATTACGCGCACATTTAAATTCTTTGCCGCATTGATCGCATAAATATAAACCTAATATAATGATTGATAAAAAAAGCATACATAATTATTATTATCACATGTTTCGGTAATTGTTGAATGTTCAATTGTTCATTGTGTAACCTACCAGGACCATCTTTTTGTGTATGTCGGAATTTATGTTTAGATAATGCTGTACTATTCGAAAATCGACTTGGACACAGATCACACAGAAAATTCTTTTCTATCGTACTATGATGTTTCATGTGTACGTCTCTTAGTAACTCCATTCCAAAGAATTTTAAGCATATATCACATTTGTACAGTAACTTTTCGCCTTTGCAGTCTTTTTCCAAATGTTGTAACAAAGCTTTCGTCGTCTTGACCGGTTGATGACAATAAGCGCATCCACTCAATCCGTTGCATAAATGTTCATTAATTTCTTTCGTCGTAAAATCATTGGTACACACTTGACAATTTTCGTTTCGCTGATGGTCCAATTCGATGTGTAGACGAGTATCATACAATGATTTTAATTTTAATTGACACATATAGCATTCAAATTTTAGTGCTTCCATTTTTTCATGCGCACGTCGTGCATGTAATTTCAAATGTCCTTCATTTTTGAAATATCGACCACATGTGCCGCACTGATGGGGGACCAATTGGTTTTTTGCTTCTCCCGAATGACATTCGATCATATGATTTCGAATTTGATATTTTGTATAGAAAATTCCATCACAGATTTCACAACTGAATTCTTGCCTGGGGTTAATCACAAAGAAAAGAATCGAAATTAATCAATATGTAATGGAACGTAATGAAAGTAATGGAAACATATAATGAAAATCAAATATGTATAATTTAAGGTCACACATTTGCAACAACATTGCTTCAATTTGAGATTTGGTAGAAGTGTTAAGAATCGCGTTCTGTTGTGGAATAACAGAACTACTACTTCTACCAAATCTCAATTTTTGTCAGCAAAGTGTTGGCTAACGCAGCTTCGTTAAATTCATTTGCAAATTGTTTTTAATTTATGTGTGTATATGTGTGATCAAACTCTTACTCTTACTACTTTCTTACATACTAAATAGATTCTGATATTGTGATTTTTTTAAATGGATGTAATGGAAAAATAATCAAAAGAATGGATAGAATTCTTCAAAGTGATTTTCAAAGTAAGTATACCCCGATTCTTGCTCACAGTCCAAATGTTTTTTCTGATGAAATTCCAATAGTAAAGCCATTGAAAATATGCTTGGGCATTTATCGCATTCAAAAAATGTCTTTTCGTGGTGATGAATACTAGAAGAAATAAATGAAAACATACATTAAAGTGCTGTACCGTCGCTCATTACTATGTATCTTGTATCTTAATATTTACATTAGATGATCCAAAATCAAAACGATCGACTTGAATGACTTTCCACAATAATCACAACAAATTTCATTGATGCCTTTTTCGCAGATGTGATCTTCAACGTGTGGATAATATGATTGCTGACAAACTTCACAATATTCCTTAAGGTTCTTCGCGTAAATCAATTCTAATGGTCTGACTTTATTTTTTAATTGTGAAAGACTATGTCTCAGTTTTCTTATTGTTTTTGTTTTTTCTTTACATTCTGCTTTCAATGATTTGATTTTCGTTGCGTACCTCTGCAATTGTACGTCTTGTCCAATACATCGATAGCACTGTTTTGATGAACTGGGCACTTGGCTAGAAACTTGAGATTTCGTCACTTGTACATCAGTGTTCACTATTGTCTGACCACTTCTTGAAAGTACGAAAAAAATATGTAAAAATAAAGTAAAAGAAAAGTCGAATATAAAATGAAGAGAAAAAGAAATACTTTAATGGGTCATATGATTTTTCTTGTCCATCGACAGGCTCTTGTTTGATATAATTGCACGGGGTATCTAACTCGACTCTGGGCGGCTCTTCTTTTTCCTCATCCGACATGGGCTCTGTCTTACTGTAAGTTTAAAAAAATGAATTCGGAAACGTTAGCTAGTGTACCTACATGATAAGTGTTCATTAGAAATACAAACATTGGAAGGTTGTATGAACTCGTCTCAAACATATTTGGAATCACATTTTTCGTTCCATTTAACACAATCACTTTGGTTTTCTTTGAATATGTGTATTGAATTTTTGGTTCAGCATTGACATTGACAACTTGTTTTTCATTCTCCACTGCATGTCTAGATATGAAAGATTAAAGAACAAAAATAGCAATTAACTTTCCATCCAGAGAAAATATCATTATTGGAATACAAACCTCTTTTGGTCGAATGGATTTGTCGTGAATATTGTTGGAATTGCATTTGGCCTTAATCGAAGCTGACTCGTTTCCCTGACTCTGTTGAAAAAACAGTCCATATCAAAGTGAAGCTGACAGATCTTGAATTGATTGCTAATTCCTTGATATTTTCTAATTGATCGTATCCACTTTTCACGAATCTGTACATCTTGTGGCGGCCTAAAAGAAAAAAAAGCGCACAGGCATTGATTTTGATGTTTTCAATTGGGAAATATTTTTCATATTTTTTGATCATACCGAAAGAAACTAACACTGCTTTCAGATGGACAACCACGAAAGTTTTTACAGGTAAGTATACAACAATACCGTGGCATTGTGGTGGTTTTTTCATAAAAATTTATAAAAAATTTGGTAAATAGTTAACCATGTATGACAACAACTATATGAATTTACTAATATCATTTATGACAGTTGGTATTTCTAAGTTCTTGTGATATACATTGCATTGAATGCATCCATTATTGAGTGATTTTGACAGCTAACGTCAAACAGAAAATGTTCGTTTGTTTATCAACCGTATTGAAGTCAAAACTAAAATTTCGTGGAAATTTATTCAAGAGAAAAAAACAATTACAAAAATGTGTGCAAAACAAATAAAGCGATATTGTCGCATTCCATCATGTGAAAACAATCGCGGTAGTACACGAGAAGACCTTCGACTGTTTAAGTTGGTTGATTTTATGCATACTTTTACTATTCTAAAACTAAAATGATTCATTTCATACATTTGCAGAATTCCTTTTGACCCCGAGACCCGTGTGAAATGGGAAGAAGCGTGTCAGAAACTGTTTGGTATGGATTTTAGGTCATCAACACCATATATTTGTAGTGATCACTTTCACCCCGATGATCTTTGCAAGAAAAAAAATGGAATAACATATAAGACTGGACGGGTTCCAACAATTGGTACCCGAGCAACTATCAAACAGTAAATTAGCACTCACAAGATTCATATCTACAAATGAATGAAAAATTATCGTTTTGTATTTAATAGGGAACCCAACAATGATGTTGTTAATATGATCAATTTCGTTGACATTGATGCAATTAAAAATGAACCCGGAACTGTTAACAGTACCAGCATACACTCGCCGAAACAATCGACACAACAAGAGCGGTGAGACTCATTTTTAGTTGAACGATTTTTCTTAATTTACATTCAAAATCACTTTGCAGGCAATATGAAATTTACGTTGAGGTAGAACCAAACGACTGTCCGATGTGTGTTGAGTATAAGGCAAAGAACGAAACACTCAATCGAAAATGCGATGACTTGATGGAAGAAAATAAGATACTAAAAGCGAAATTGAAAGATTTTTTGGAAAAAAGTGAAAAACCACCAACGATAACGAAGATACGAATGCAAAAATGTCAAGTCTGTCTAATTTCATTAACACTAGGTGAATTGGAACAGCATTTATGTATGAGTCAAACGGAAATTGAATGTCAATATTGTTTAGCTACATTCAAATCGACTATTGCATTGGGAAGACACTTACAGGAAGCGAAACATGAAGACATGACCATGTATCGTTGCAACAAATGTAATTTGGTCTTTTTGACAGCATATCTGCTTAAGTGCCATCAAGAGTTTGAGAAAAAACTGCCTCGAGATGATATCACAGATATTGATGTACCGCTCACTAATAAAAGTAATTAGAATCGACCATTATCCTTGGACTTTGCACCTATTAGTGTTTTTTTTTTTCAATTTTGAATCATACACAGTTTACAAGTGTGGTGTCTGCGGTTTATCGTTTGAACAATCGTATGATTTGGGCAAACATTGGAGAACAAACCACAAGGGGAAGAAAACACAAAATATTTACGTAGATATTGATGTGCCGCTCATTAATAAATGTAAGTAGAATCGATAATTTTCTTTGGACATTGCACCAATTAATATTTGTTATCAATATTAAATCATACAGTTTTCAAGTGTGCTTTTTGTGATTTATCGTTTGAACAATCGGATGGTTTGAGCAAACATTTGAAAAAAAATCATAATGAAAAGAAACCCCATTTATACGAATGTTACCTGTGTAAAATCCGGCTAAATTCATACATGAAGTTGAAGCAACATATTAAGTTACATCGTCGAGATAAAAAATGCGGAGTTTGTGAAGAAGATCTCACGTTGCATGAACTCAATAAGCATGCATGTTGTGAGGAAGGAAAAATCGCGTGCGAATATTGTAATAGTTTGTTCGATACAACAGTTAAGATCGTTGAGCATTTAGAGAGCACGCACACTGAGAACCGGACGATTTATCAGTGCCACTTGTGTCCACGATATTTTGCAATGTTACGCCTTAGAGAATTTCACGAAACACACCACAAAGATACGATAAAACCATTTATATGTGAATTATGCTCAAAAGCGTTTACCAAATCCCATCACCTGAAATTACATTTGAAAAGACATAACACTAAAAGTAAGACTATATTCCAAAAGCATTGATACAAATCCAAATGTTTAAGATAAAATTCATATAATTTATACTTATCATGTTCTCATTACAGTTACATCTCTCTGTAGTGAATGTGGCAAAGGGTTCGCCACAGCAAAAGATCTGAACGGTATGGAATTCTAGTTGTCAACGAATCATGCGACGAATCAAGATTTGACCCATATTTTTGTTTGTTTTATACTACATTTTTCTTTTTAGTACATATTTCTGTTACACATGAGAAGGAGTCTTGTAAAACTTACACCTGCAAAGACTGCGGAAAAGTGTTTATCAATTACCAACTATACAGTGATCACAAGTATGTCTCTCAATTTTCGCAATTTTCAATTTCCGGATTTTGTTTAATTTAAATAAAATTAAATTTGATTTACCGCAGGGAGCTTCATTTAAATTTGACATACAAATGCAATCAATGTACTTCGACCTTCTTTTCCAAACGTAATTTAGTGAGCCATATAAGTATGACCGTTGATTTTTTTAATGGAATTCATGAATAAATCTGGAGAACTCATTTTTTTCAGAACGATTACACTCTGGCTTCATTCCGAAAAAACGTTTTGTTTGTTCATATTGCCAAATGAAATTTGAAAAAGCCAACCGTTTAACTATACACCTTAGAAAACACACAGGAGAAAAACGTAATATACACACTGACCGCGCATCATTATATTGATCAAAGGAAATTTAATTTGGGAACAAATAATACAACTGGACAGATATAAATCACGAAAATGTCATAAACAGCGGCTAAATGTAACAATTCAATTTTGTGGCAACATCAATTTGTATTTTCAACGTAGATTCGGACTTCTATTTTAGTATTTTTGATGTCCTAATTCAGAGTTTCACGTTACAAATTATTATTGTCACAAGATTGAAATAGCCGCTAATTATAAAATATCTGAGATGTATGATCCATTTGTACAGTCCATTTTATGCTTTGACATTTTTCAATGGCAAAATACCATTTTCAAATGAAATTCTATTGATCAATATAATGATGTACAATTTATAAAAGATTTTTGGTACAACATTTGACTTATTCGTTGTGTTATTTTTTTTTTTGCAGCATATGTATGCGAACATTGTCCGAACAAGAAATATGCATATAAACAAGACTTTGTTAAACACGTAAATACCCATCTTAAAAATGGATTTTATAAGTGTGAAGAGTGTGACCAGGGATTTCAGCGTCTCATTGAATTACGGCGACATTCATACACTCATTATAAGGAAAAAATGGCTGACACCGGTGAAAGTTCATCGACGAATATCAATTAATATTTACTGACCATGAAATGTAACCAACTGATAAATTACTACCCGTAAATAAAACAGTAGTTTATTTTGATTATATTTTACTATCTTTATAGCATGTATTTTGAGTGATTTCAGACATTTGTACGGCTACATCATTTTCTTATGCTTTTCTTACAGTTATTAATCAAAATGGTTAGTATTGAATATGCATGATAATTGTATAGAACGAAGAATATTTGAATGATTTTTCATCCACTTGAATTCTATCCTGATTCTGACAAGGTGACATTCTTTCCTTTGATTGGCGAATCAAATTGTATGAGAATCGTTAAATAAGAGGCAGACGTTCCAAGAATCTTTGAATAAAATATTTTCGTTGGTTATTAAAATAGTAAAAGTCTGATTAAAATATACCGAGTACAATATAGTCCAATCAATCACAAAAAGGCCACATGACACCACGGGGCGTTGATGCTGTAGTTGCTGTGAAAATTGAAATGCCTACAATGTAAAAGTGAAAATGTCAGTATGAATGATAAATCAAAGTAAGCACACGTTTCGTCTTACATATTTTTCCCAATGCATGTGATTACATTTATTCAAGATTTTATGGATAATTCGTGCAGTTTCTTTACCCTGACAATATATACATGTTGAAATTGATAATTCTTGGTTGATACAATCAAATAAAGTTACCTCTGCCATGAGGGTGCTGGCGCAATGAATTGTATATGTACAGTAGATAGCGTAATACGTGAAATCAACGAAATTAATGCCAGCCAATTGATTTGTTAGATCATTTTCAATGGTTAATTTCCGATAAATCGAATAACAAGCCAAAATACAAAACGACAAACACATTCCCATGTTGATCATAATCTGTTGATTAAAAATACATTTTGGATACGTTGGAATACACAAACAAAAATTGATTTACTTGAATTGTATAGCAAAAGTTGACTTTATCCATAACACGACTCAATAAATGGTGAAGTTTACACATGGTTTTTATGAAAACAGTTTGATCTAATTTCTTTACTTCGATAATTTGCACAATGCTCACAAAGTTTAGAAGTCGTTTCCTCATAAGATCGTTTAACATTTTGTACCGAGACCGTAGGCACATTAAAAGTAACATATACTCTTTGAATATGGCTGCCGATTGGCCGAAGACCAACGTATTTGTACAAATGTGGATGAAAATTCCGAATAGGGTTTCGTGCTCAAATAACCACGAATAGAAAAAATACACAAAAACAGCGCCGACCCAATTAACGCCTGCAGTTATCCGCAGAAAATTTACCACAAATTTTCTGTGTTTTTCATAGTTCACGTGTGCTGCAAATCTGCTCATCTTTTTGTAAAAAGAAACAAATTTTATACAGCTCAAAGAAACGACAACTTTAAAGTGTTCAACTACCTCTTTGTCGAATGCATTTATCATTTTCATCATATCGATTAAACGGTGACGATTCAACATATTTGATACAGTTGAAATTGAGCATAAAATCAAGTTGATGGTCATAAGTACTCGTCGACCACGGACAAATATCATAGTTTGAGTATTGTTATATTCGACGGGCACCAAAACTATAGCATTTAAAACGGCAAGTAATAAAAATAACGAAAGTGATACTATAAACCATATAATGTGTGTAAAATAAACTTCACTCCTTTCCATTTCCCCCCTTGGTGTATACTTTATGGAAAATTTCATAAGACCAAACTTTTTTGATGACTCATAGACAGGCTTCACACAATCAAAGAAATTTTTTGGTGATGTTTTCTTGTTTACTTCGGCTGGATTTTGAAATGATGATATTTTATTTGATAAAGCACCGCTTGATGAACATTTAAAATTTAACTTCTCCATGACTCAAAATGTAAAACAAAGTGTTTACACAACTTGTACTCGATTAATATTCGAATCCTTATAATAGACAAAGCTAAAGGAATTACTATAAACTTGTTTATATTTCACGATTGACTTTAATACTCAAATAGTATTCATTCATGTTTTGAAAACATAGTGTTTGTCTCAGTCAGATGAATACAGCAGATATGATATAAAAACAAAAAATGAAATTAAATGCTCGAAAAACAAATTATTTATTTAGATGCATTAGCTAATTATAGCCATACAATTCAATATCCAATCGATAAATGAATGGAAATAAAAGATACGCTGCTGCCAAAAGTATTGGGTATACAAGGTTAACAAGGTAAAAAGAGAATCACGCTGGTCACAATATATATGAAAATTTCATAATAAAATCTTTTGTGAGCGCTTCTCCTCTGAGAAATAGTCTTTAAAATTTAGTATAAATACGTCAAGTAGGTACAACTATTTTATTCCCGAATTACTTCGTGTGTGAGTGCGATCAAACCATTTTCGATCAACCCGTCTAAATGGTTTGTATTTAAAAAAAAATCTCAAGGCAGTCTCTCCCCCTGCTCAGAAATTGTTCAATCTACAAAAATATCTAAAAGAAATATTATCATTGAAATAAAAAACACACACAATAGTTTTATTGAAGAAATTTTAAAATTGATTTATTGTTTTCAAATAAATGTGTACGTTGTGGGTTCAATTCGCTACGAATGAACGACGCTTGAAATAAATAAAATGTTTTTATTTGACTTGAAATATGAATGTGTTTTCATTTTAATAAATTTTTAGAGATCGTCTTTAACCAATAACAAGTATTTTGTATAAGTAATATAAGTGTTTTCGTTTTATTTTTTTAAATTTTCTTCTCTTATTATATCGATAACTTGAAGTAATTCATTGTTTGCATTTCTGTGGAATCGATTTATTTTAAATCTAAGACCAACACAAAGATTTGCTCAGACAAAGAAAAGATGTTGAGCAAATTTACAATATCTTAAATCCAATTAGATTTGGCTTCGATTAATTTCACGTTCTAACAACCATCAAACTTGTAAATTATTTCTCAAGCAATTGTTTTCATGACATTCATTGTTTCTTTTTGTTAGATTCCATGTTTTATTATTTTATTGCGATCGATTTTATGTGTATGTATAGGTAGATAGTGTTGATTTCACATTGTGATACGGTGCAATTCGAAAATGAAATGGGAATTTACAAATATGCATATATGGCTACAAAACATGAGCGAGACAGAAAAACACATATTTTAAAAAAATCATCGTGGTCTGGTGGGTGATATTAATATTGTAAATCGGTCGGCTTGATTATGTAAGGTATTCACTATAAAAAAAAGTTGTATCTAAAAAAACGGAGGAACGATACAAATTAAATCTATTTGTTTTTTTATTATTTTCGTTTTTGGATGGAATCCCATGAATGTTATTATATTGATCAACGATGATGTCAATAGATAGTTGTTTGGTGCGCATAGCACCATTGAAAAAACAATTGATTAGAAAAAAATGGTGACCATCAGCCTAAATTATTACTTGATTATTATCTTGATTTTGGTTTTGGTGCAATGAAAACTTTTTTTTTTGTTATTGATTGACAGCGTTATTTTAATGTATGTTATTTACCATTACGATAGGCCAAATAGGGTCAGCTAATGAGCTATTATAATATATAATTTCGATTTTGACGGGAGAAAATTCATAAATAACATCTCCTGCGCGTCAATGGTTTATCGCAAAACGATTTTCTATGTGATTCAAAAAAAAAATCGTAGGAAAAATGTTCCCCGCCCTCGGAATAATGTTTAAATGTATACGATTTTGTTGTTGTTGTTTTGAGTTGATCATAAGTTTTTCAATGTTAGCATATGTATGTATCAGTGATGATTAAATATTTATCGAATGGGAACAAGGGAAAAAATTTGGAACAGCGATCATATGATGTACTCTTTCGTGCTACGTATATATTTTTTCTTAAGTATATTGCTTGCCAGAATGGTTTCTCATTTAATTTATATCTTCTAACCATTCCATTGATCTAAACTGCTCACACTTCAAATATATTTATACTTTCTTAATAGAATAATAGTTTTTTTTTTTGTTTGATAAATTCGAAAGCTTAATATAGCAATCAAAAAGGCAAAACAAACAAGGGTACGTTTTTAAAATTTGGTTTGGGGTTTGAATAAAGCAATATTTTGAGTTCGATTTAAAATCGAAATGTCAAACATTCAAACATTATTATATAATAGTCTATACTCAATCAGTGCATACGAATAGAAATAGGAGAATAAAACAAAAAATATCACCAATAGAGGTTTTTTTTACTTGAACAAAAATCTCAATCAGAACTATAAGTAAAATAAAAAAAAAATCACTAAATGATTGCACATTTCTCTCCTTGAGAATATAATCATAATACTTGGTTTCATTAACTAATTTCAATTATCTATTGCATTATTTTTTTTGGTATCGAATATAATAATATTTAATTCAGCTAAATATTGAATGCCTATAATAATAATAATAGCGACATTTTCCATTTTATGTCAATAATAGAGCAACATACGCAATTCACAATATATCAGTCGCTCGATTCAAACATTTTCAAAATGAAAATAATCAAAAAAAAAATCGCGTGAGCATTTGAGAATTCAAGTTTGCAGTTGCGTAGATGCATCAAAAATGTGGGAGTGATGTAGAATTGACTATATAAATTATAACACTGACAAAATACATTGAGTAAATCGTAAATCCTTAACGTTGAAGTCTTTGAGGCAATTGAACGGTCGTCGTTTTATTTGAGCGTGCATAGACTGGCGACTGTGAACCCTGAAATCGTTCAAACAAAAGCAAAAAAAAAATGAATAAATGGATCAAGTCGATAATTCAGTTGGGTACATACGCCTGAGTCAAAGCTAGTTTTCTTCGTTTTATCATTATCCGGTGCATCGAAACTGAATGGTTGTTGATTCCATTGTTCGACCGATGGACGCGTCATTTGTTCACTTGGTTCGCCTGCCACATTTCTATTATAATTCGGTAGTAATTTTTAATTATTTGTGTTAAATCCAATATTTTCTATATTATCAAGTACCTATTTAAATTTTCTTCGGGATCCGATTCAAGTAATGGAACACAGTCATCTGGTGATTGATCTTCAGTCAATGATTCTTTTCGTTCGCTATCCGATTTATTACTACCACCACCATCTCGTTCATTTCCATGACATTCGCATTGGCATTCGTCTGGATTTACATAATTATATTGAACGTGATGTGATGTTTCACCTCCGTGCTCTTTATGCGGTAACGTTGTTATGCGTTTAGCTGGCTTTCGTTTTTCCGGAATGTTCTCAAAATCAATCCATTCTGTTGTGCTCTTTGGAGTTTTACGTACTGTTGTCGAATCATTTGGAGCAATATCCTTATTTGCATTAGAATTTGATGGGCTACTGACTGTGGCCGTACCACCGATACCTTGTTCTGCAAACTCAAACCAACTCTTTCCACTTGAATTCGATACTCTACGTGGTGATTTTGATCTTGATGCAATCGAACTTTCTTTACAATCTTTTCGCGGTAAACTGATTCGAAGCTTTTCGCCACGTGTGTACTCCAAGTCATCAGTTAAAGCTGCTGCACCACAGTATTCTTGTAAACACGATATATTCAGTGGTGTTGTTGAGCGTGGCCGTTCCACGGGGCATGTTCTTACATCCATTAAAGCACGTTCCCGAATCGGCATGATAGACACACCGATTGTGACTTCACTCGGTAGTGTTGTGGCCACAAACGGTAAATCATCATCATACGATTCCTGACTTACCAAACCCGTACTTTCCTCTTCAACAGCGCCAACTTGTCGTGGACATCGATGCTAAGACAAAAGTCAAAAGGAGAAGAATTAGTGAGCATATTTATTTGAAAGAAAAATTAACTTCAAGCATACTTTTAAATCAATTTCAGAGTCTTGTTCACTGCCAGATGATCCGCCGGCAGTGCGACGATCTTCAGTTGAATCTCTACTTCTTGGCGATGACATTTTACTAGCTCGTTCCGGTTTAATTGGTTTTACACTTTGTCGAGGCTGTTCGGTAAAACTATCGCTCGATTTTTGTTGCTTTAATTGCTCTTTTGCTATCGAATTTTTTCGCTCTGATTCAATTCTTCTTTGATTTTCCATAATCTCTTCGATATTTTCGATATACATTGAATGACGATTCACATTAATCATTTCTTGTTTAACAGCATGCACTTCAGTATCTGTGTCCCGATCCTTGTTATCTTCTTTTGATCTCATTCTCACAACCGGCTCAATTTGTTCGGGTATTGATTCGGGCTTTTGATCGTCACGCAAAATGCTGTCACTTTTTTCAGCAGATGGACTTTCTAAATTCGGCACTTGTTCGGATAATTGGCTCGAAAGACTTTCCGTTTTCGACAAGCTCAATTGTGTCGCAAATATTTGCTCTTCACTGCCTGATCCAATTTTTGTACTAAATAGAATTCGCTTGCGCTCTTTTGACATTGCACGAATGCCACCGTTTACATTTTCAACGGATACGATTGTCGTTTCATCTTGTGATATTTGTTTAGCTGGCGTTTCCGATATTTTTTCAACAGCTGTTGTAATTGGTGGTGTTTGAGCGGCGACAACGGTTGAAATCACAGACGATTTATTTGCTTGAATCTCACCGCCACTAACCAATGAAGCTGCCTTCGACGAAATAACCGTATCTTGACTCTCTTGAGAGCTATTTCGTTGAACGGCTGTACTCCACAATTGGCTATTATTATCGAAATCATCGGCTTCATTGCGTTCATCAGACGGAGATCGCAAGGGAATGCGTATGCTGCCATCGGGTAATTCGATTCGATAATTTTTCTTAGTTTTTGGTTGTGCAGTCGCTGTTGGTGTAGTCGATGTGCTTACAACTGATTTTGTAATTGATTGTTTCGGTTGTTTTCTTTCGCTTATCGGTGTTTTTGGCTTAATTGGTGCTACTTCAATCACATCAGCGCCACTAGACGTTGCATGAATACTTACTGGAATCGATTGCGATGTGGATGCGATCGATGATGCAAATGTTACGTTTTCTTTTTCGTCAGGTGGCGTACGCAATGGTATGTGAATGCCTTCATGTGGATCTCTGGGTTGTTCGTAGTATCGTAGTCTGGGTGTCGTACTGCCCGGTCGTTGCTGAAACTCTTCTTGTTTATGCGTTTGTTTTCGACTCTGATGCTCTTGTTTTCCTGACATTATTTCGTTCATCTCGGGATCGATGGGTGACGATGACTTTGATGAATTCTTTCGGGGTTTAAATATGGCCAAAACGGATCGTTGTTTACTTGGTGTGCTATTTGCTGATAAACCGCCACTGCTTTTATCACTTTCTCGACTTTTGCTTCGCGAACGATCACGTGGACTATCTAACAGGATTGAAATAGCACTCTTTTTTCGTTGACCACTTGGTGAATCTGGACTGGCCGCTTCTTTTGCCTTGAACAATGAACAGAATGAACTTTTACGCGAAATACTAATGGCCGCTGTGGCGGGCGATGGTGATCGGCTACCAGCATTTTTCAACACATTTCGTGAGGGTTTTGGTGATGCAGTCGGAGTTAGATGTTGATCAGTTTGCTTTGCAGTAGCACCATCATTTTGAACCAATTGCGTAAAATGTGGAGCGGTTTTTTTAGTTGTAGATTTTTTCAAACTTAATGAATCCGGTTTTGACACTTCGGTCTCTTCGACCACACGTTCATTTGACGATATTCCTTGGTCATCATACAGGTCGTCCGGTTTCAGTTTTATTCGAATGTACTATTTTGTAAGAAAGAAATCATTTATATTCCATATTCTATGTAAAAACATGCAAATTGTACAAATTACCTGAGTTCCACTTGGCGTAACACCAACAATGGTGCAATTGTTTTTCTTGAGTACACCACCTTTTTTGGGTTGGTTATTGGCACGTGCTGCGCCCACTTTACTCTTATCGGTAACAATTTGTGTACGCTTAACGATTTTCTCGGGAACATCTTTAAAACTACCATTGGATTCTTTTTTCGGTTCAGTTTTTATTTTTTTCGGTGTTGATAAATCGATGTTAATACCTTCGGCTAATACAGCCTTGGTAACATCATGTTTACGTGCCAAAATAATTTGCTCCAATTCATCGGTAGTAAGAGTATCATTGGCTGTTGCAATAGCAATGCCAGAATTAAGAGGTTTTGGTCCACAAAACGATGTCTCTAGCATTGTTTTATGCGGTGAAGGGGAACGTGATATACCAGATACAGCCGACAATCGACTTACAGCCGATCCTTGACTGCCAACACTTGAAATACGGCTCGTTCTACCCGATATACATAACAAAGCTGCCACTTCAGAGCTTACCGAGTCTTTACGTGCATTTTGCTGTAAACACGCTTGCTGTTTTTCATCGAATTTAAATGATGTTGGCGATGAACGTTTCTATAAATAGTTAGTTCATAAATTATTAATTCATTTTTAACCATTTTTGGAAATAAACTATTACACTTACTTGTGGCTGACATTCACTTTCTCGTTCAACCTTTTCCTTATTATTTTTGCTATCACCTTCAATCAAATATAGTTCCTCTGTGGATCTTCTCAAGTCATTTGTTCCATCTTCTGCGAATCCCAAATCAATTTCATTTCCTTCTTCTAATACTCCTTCACCAACTTGATCGAAAACATTTTCCGGGCTACTGTCGCGGCTGTCTTCGTGTTGCGATGAACTTGATGCACGACTTATATCAATACGAGGCGTTTGTGAAACTCGTAACACATTTCGTGATTGTGCTGATTCCGTCATAGCTGATGCAGTTTCATTCGTCGTTTTTTTATTTGGACAACTTTTTTCTATCGATTGTGAATCCGTTTTATTCAAATCCATCTATGGCATTGATATGAAATGAAGGAAAAAAAACACAGCTACCTTTACATTCATATTATCTATGTTATGCTATTCAATACATTGAAACACTTTGTTATAAAATGAGAGCAAAAAAAAAAAAGAAAAAAATTGTTAATGAATTGCAATCTACGCTTATTGCATTGCGGCGAAAGAGCAATTGTTAAGGTGACACTAAAACGGAACATGGTGAAATATAAATGACATTTGGTATGACAAACAATGCACAACAAATAAGTGGGTCGTTTTCATGTACAGTATTCGAGCATAATATAGTGTGTTGTTCAAACGAACTGTTCGTGTGAGCAATTTTATTGAGGAGTTATGTTGGTAATAAATTGCACGGTAACCAAAAACCCGATGAAAAAAAAGAGAATTGAACAAAAATAGCACCACTCGACCAGTTGACATCATAATGTCGTTGAAATTTTTACATTCCGTATGGCATACAGCAAAACCTCATTTCATTTGCAGCAGACGCAACCACAGTTTAATTGAGCCTATTTGTAAGGATTTTTCTTAGTGGTGAGACTTCAACATTCTTAGAACTGTGTCATTATTTAATTAGGTCTCAAATCCATGGAGAGCCATTTCATACATGACTAACTATTGTCCATCGTTTCATTTGTATGGTTCGGACTCCCATCACACACTTCAATAAAAAAAAAATACACACCTTTTTTTACGCATTACAACAACAATGACACACTACACTTTAGTTTGTTGGCACGCGAGTCCTCGATTTGTCAATTACATATGAAAATGGTTTATTTCCTGTGTACGTTCTTGTCTCGAATTTGTAAATCAAAATCTGCTTCAAATTCAATTACCACAGCTTATTTGATTCGATGGTTTTTTTTTGTTTCACTTCATTTGGCATTAAGAGAGAAACAAGTAAATCATACAAAAATTGAAAATACACACACGGAACTGAAGTAAAATTTGCTAACAAACACAAAGAGAGAAACGTTCACGCATCGAATGCTTTTCTACGACGATTTGGATGTGGAAAAAAAATGTCGAGACCTGTGAATTTGCGCGCTATGACTTTGCTTTTCAACTATGTACAAACTGCTAGGGAATTAGCATTACTCCACTCCAGAATCGAGTTTTCCATTTTCCCCGTCTGCCAGTGATAATTTCCAAACATACACTTTTTTTACATTGTTGCACACGAGAAACCGCATAGTCTCTGCTCCAAAACAGCATGTGCACCCCATGCTTATTCACCATGTTTACTGGAAACTTTTTTTTGTATCATTGGAAAATGGAAAATATATAAGATATATACAAGCGCGACAGTTACAAAACCGAAGCAGCCGAATCAATAACCTGTGACATAAGATAAAGCATAGTGCTCTGCGTTGAGAAACCAACAATCCGTGCAATGGCATTAGCTCAAATGTATATAAAGCATTACTGTGTATTACTACACATAGTAAACGAAGTTGTGTGTACAATACAATTCGTAAAATGATAATTTTTGTCGATTTGTGCACATGTTTCATCCAATATTAACAGAAAAAACCGATTCCATACCGCAAAAATCATTTTCAAGTGGATGTGATTTTATTCTATTTTTTGTTATTTGCTATGCAGCGAAGAAGCTTTTGCCAGTTTATTTACATGTGTGGGGGAGAGAGGTGTGTGCGTTTGTTTTTCTTATCTGTCCATTTCATTTTCAAGGACATTTACCTTAAATTTAAGCTCATCGGACGATGTATCCTCGAAAGATGCAATAGGTGCTGGCCCAAGTTGCTTTTGTTTCCGCGGTGAACTCGATTTAGATTTGTCCATTATGTTGTTTGTGTGTGAGTGTCGGTCGCGTTTAAAGTTATGGCATTAATGTGATGCTATGCGAGTTTCTATTTTATATATATGCGTATTGGCCTCGTGTCAAGGTTCATGCCAGACCCAAAACCTTTCACGCTAATTTGCACACTTTCTGGCTATATTGGATACGACTTTTATCGTTATTAATTATAATACCACTCAAATCTTTTCAGATTGCATATTTATCATACGTAACACACCCCGTGGTAATTATATTCCAGCATATTCGTTTGCTACTTTTTCTTGGTTTTGCTGAAATGTTCTACTATATTTTTTATGCTAATCGCAAGTAATTTTACCATAAAGAACGGAAATTCTATTTTCTACATCAATAGTTCAGTGGTGCACTGCATTCGTTATATCGACAGTAAATGATTTAATGTTGGCAAATGTCCTTCTTTTGTTTTTCGATTGTGATTATTGACTATTGCAATGTCGGTGTTTTCCCTCCTGCTGAATTCGGTTCAACGAATCTCAAAATAGATATATTTCCCGTTTCAATTGTATTAAAAATCAATCCATTCAAATGAAAAAAAAAAAATAAGAAAGGCGCCAGCGATTCAAGCTCAGTTAAAAAAAATCCCAATGGTGCACATGTAGGCTTTGCGTTGAAATCAATTGAAATAGATTTTGCATTGATTGGATTTCGACAATTCGTTTAGTCAACAAAGTTGGTCGTCATCGCAAGTTTCCATTTAATTTTCCTGTTTTGATCAATAAATTGTTGGCAGAGTGCACAGCATGAACAAGCAATAGTTACGTAAATTAGTTTTACTGTTTCGTTTTGCAATCACAACGTCTACGAAGGCTTGTTTTGCCTATTAATTAACTGCATGCTTTCCATCAATTTCCATCGACACACAATGCATTACATTCAGCAGGAAAGAAAAATCACTCCCATTTCATTAACTTTACTATCGATTTCCAACTTATCGAGACTTTTATGGTAACAAACAACATCAACACCAACGAAAACGACAAGATGAGAGAACAAAAAAGAGATAGAGAAAAAAAAATGGCAAAACTAATTATAAAGAATCCAATGAATGAACGATAAATGCAATACAGACTATGAATGTGATAATACGATAGCGCCAACACTGGAAACTTACACAAAATGTACAACTGAATAAAAGCATTCACTGAAACTGAACGCGATTTGTTTCAGTTTTCTTCGTCGTATATTTTCTTCGATTTTTTTCCCTGAATATATGTATCGATAAACATTTATGGGTCACCGAACCTTTTCGACGCAAAACACTGTAGCGGATTCACTTCATTTTTTATTATTCACTACATTCGTGATTGACTGGTTAAATGAATGAGAGACAGAGAACGAACATGAGAGTTAATTCGTCAACGATTGGAAAACACATCCACTTTTACGACGGTCAAATAAAACCCTTTTTACACATTATTTTGTTGTTGTGGTTTTTGTTCCGTTTATTATTAATTCATTCGACGAGTCATGGGTGGATTTCTTTTTTAAAATCCGTTTTGAAAGGACACCACATACGACAAAATAACAAAAAATACTATTTCATTTAAATTAAGAACATATCGTATTTCTATCTTATGCATATCGAGCTTATATGTGCCTCGTTGCCCACTATGTATGAAACTGTTTTGTATTATTCCTAATCATAACTCCGTCAACCAGAATTGAAATCAAACCGAATATTACATACAAATAAATTTAAGGAGAATATTGTAATGGATTGAGCATGATCCGTAAATTAAAATACATTCCAAAAGAATTTACCAACAGCATTTGAAATATGATTCTCTAACTAGATTGATGAAATTGAACGGAATTTAAAATCCAAAAAATTTCAATATTTCGTTTAATTTTTTCTTTATTAATTTTCATTTATTTTCACAAATTTCCATGAAAAGTGAAACAAAAATCCAAATATTATGCAAAACAAGTGGTCCCTATTGGCAAAAAGCCGTCGTTTTCGCGTTCAACATACATCCAACTTCACTTCGGTTGTCGGTTTCGATGATGACATTTATATTTATTCACAGGCATTTATACCGAGTCATTCTTGTCACACAACAATTACACTTTTGCACAGCAAAACCCGCTTGGTGAAAATAGTTTTCGTTACAATCGGTGTAAACACAAATTGAACGTGTTTACTTTAGGGAGAAAACATCAAATAAAATTTGATTAGAGTTTTTTCCGTCAAGATAATTCTGAAAGAATGGCATCCGAACGTTATAGCTTTTCGTTGACTACATTCAGGTAAACAATATATTTTAACCTAACTTCTGACCTGAATATGACTTGCTTTATTTCAATAAATTTCTGGTCTCCAAATTTTTAAATGTGTTTCATGTTTCAAAAAAACAATTGCAGTCCATCGGGAAAATTGGTGCAAATCGAGTATGCATTGGCTGCAGTCTCAGCTGGTGCACCGGCCGTTGGTATTTTAGCATCGAATGGGCTCGTTATCGCCACCGAACATAAACACAAATCAATTTTATACGATGAAAGTAGCGTGCACAAGGTGGAAGTCATCACTGATCATATCGGAATGGTTTATTCTGGCATGGGACCCGACTATCGTTTATTGGTGAAAGAAGCTCGCCGTTTGGCACAAAATTACTATCTCACTTATCGTGAACCGATTCCAGTATCGCAACTTGTACAACGTGTTGCAACATTGATGCAAGAATACACTCAATCTGGTGGTGTACGTCCATTCGGTGTGTCATTGTTGATTGCCGGCTGGGATATTGATCGTCCATATTTGTTCCAATGCGATCCATCGGGTGCATATTTTGCATGGAAAGCAACGGCAATGGGGAAAAATGCGATAAACGGCAAAACATTCTTGGAGAAACGTTATAACAAAGATTTGGAATTGGATGATGCCATTCACACGGCCATTCTAACATTGAAGGAAGGATTCGAGGGTCAAATCACGGCCGATAACATCGAAGTCGGCATTTGTGATCAGAGCGGGTTTAAACGACTAGATGCTAATACTGTTAAGGATTATTTGGCCAACATCCCATAAATATTTTCTCTTTTCTTTTTGCATACAATACCGTATTTTTTTCTATGTCAGTTCATTCATTTGAGCGGAAAATGGCATAATACAAAAAAAAAATTAAATAAAAATCCAATTCAATAATGATCAAGTAGTTTTTATTTTTTTATTGCTACAGTTTTTCAGTTCGTATAACAATTTTATCTTTCTACAACAATGAAATTTTTTTCACAAAAAGCGACACATTACGATTGTAGATCCATAGTTCTTTTTGTCTATAACGCTGAATTTAATCGCTGCATGAGTATTGAGAAATTGCAATTTTTTTTGTTATTTGTATTCTTTAAATTTGTGATTACAAAGAAAATTTTACGTGATTAAACCGATAATCTGTATTCATTTAATTCATATTGTTTTCGTTTAGACGACTAAAATTATTTATTTAGCTTTCGTGTGTAATGATGATCGTATCATCATCAAATTTTAATTTACATTCATTTAAATCATAAATATTTTCTAACTGAAAGTAGATTTTTATGTACATTGTACATTGTACACGCTACCGTTTATATATAATGCGAATGAACGCCATTACAATATGTAAGTTTTGTTCATTTTAAATCTAAATGCTATATTAGAGAAAATTATAATGACGATGATTTTGAATGGATGCCGTCGAGTTTATTGGGGATAATTTATGCGGGGGCTCTTTTTCAAGACAATTTAGCTGTCCGTGGCTGAACTGGGCGGTTTGATTGTTTGAGATGTGGTTGTGATTTGTGGATCTGAAATGAATTTGAATATTGCATGCATTAATATTATTTTTTAAAAACGCAAAACTTTAAATATCAATTACTTAGGTTGGATTGAATTTGTGTTGTTTGCTGTGTTTGTATTGGAATCATCTTGAGACCTTGTAACGATTTTAAATTGATAGTGCCACCTTGGAAATTTTGCGGTAATAAGAATTGGCTGCCACCTTGTACGGCCAAAACTACTCGTTGACCGGGTGTTGTAGTCAAATTTGTGCCTTTGATGACATTCTACAATAAAAAAAGAAGAGAGCAGACTCGATGAGTTTTGTAAAACGAAATGAGTAATAAAAATAAAGTACCTTGATCGTTGACTTATCGCCGGCGGCTGTTGTTGTTATCACATTCGGTGCATGTACTTTGATCGCTTGACCAGTTGATCCAAGTACAACGGTTCTCGTGGTTCCTGCTGAAACACTTGCTGTTGGCGTGGTTGTTGTGTTATTTGCTGAGTTGATATTAATAACTGACATTGTTGGTGTTGATGAATTGCCTTGTGCTTGGGCAATTGACTGTTGCGGTTGAATTTTCACAATTTGATTGCCAAACATAACTTGCGACGATTGAATTTGACCAGCCGGTAATGTACTTATAATGTTGGCTTTTCCGACATTATTACCTTGTTGTGTCCAGATTTGTGATTTTGAGATTTGACCGGGCGATTGAATCATGGTCGGTTTGGCAATTATTATTGACTTTCCATCAATATTGGCGATATTCAAATTGGATGCGTTTACCTAGGGGAGAATTACAAAAGAAAAGAATCGAATTAATTTAAAATAATCGAAAAATAATCAATAAAAATGTGAAATAATTCGTTTACCATTCGAATACTTGTACCAGCCTTAACGCGTTGATTGAGCGACGTAACTTGCGATAGCCCCTGAAAGCCTTGTACGCCAAGCACTTTTGCATTCACCAATTGCTGGGCTGTGATTGGTTGCAGTTGCGCTGATTGCACGATTTTCGGTGTTGTTGCATTCGATTGTTGACCTTGGATCATTGTCGGCTGTGATATCATTGCTGTTTTTCCGCCAATTTTCACAATTTCCGATTTTGAGGCACTTGAAGTGATTCCCGACGCTGTTTTAACTTGACCGCTTATTGTCGAAGCATTCGTTGTTACCGCTTGTGTTGTCACCAAACGAGGTTGAGGAACTGAAATGGAAATGTTGAAATGTAAATATTGACAATACACATTCATTCGATAAAGATTTTTTTTTTTTGGTTAAAAAAGGGATTCTTACTTGAAACCACGGCATATTGTGTAATTTGTGAGCCCGGTGCACCAGTCAATTGAATTAGATTTTGACCTGCTTTTGTGCCGGCAATTCGAACGGACGGTACGCCCACTTGTTTTTGTTGCACCAGATTTTCCAATGAAATTATTTGACCCGATTGATCAATCACTTTGCCAATTATCGAACTGTTTGCTGAAATGTTGCGAACGCTGGTTATTGGGCTCGTTGTCGATGATGTTTGAATGAGACTTGTGGTCGCTTTTATTCCACCTCTTGTGATAATTGGTTGACCAATACTAACCGATGCCGTTGTTACCAATTGAATTTGAGCATCGATTAATGATGAGCTTGATTGTACCGGAGCCAATTGAATTTGTCCCGGTTGGAGTTGCTTTTGAATTTGTGTTAAAACTTGGGGTTTAATAATCAAATTCGATTGTCCGGTGCCACCTTGTGCGCGAATCTGTTTGTTGATCGTCTGAAGTAAGCTTTGTTGCTGAAGCGGCGTTAGATTTGCTGTTGATATTGTTTGTACTTTTGCTGTTGGCGATGATTTGTCTTGGTTCGATTGATGAATTTGTATGATTTGTGGATTAATTAAACTCGTTCCTGGCGGTGTGTTCGTTCCAATCGTATTGCCAATAGACGCTGAACTGTTGGTAACTGCCACATTGCTTGTGGTTGTACCGCCCGTTTTCGAAACGGCAATAATTTTCTGAACCATAATTGGCGATGATGTTCCAACTATGGTTGCTTTTGAATTGCCAGCAATGACATTTGCTCCACTTGGTGATACAATTATATTTTGTTGTGGCAATGATTTTGCCTGTATTATTTGCATTGTTGTTTGTTGTTGTCGATTTGCGGCCGCAACCACTGATGGATTTATCAAGCTCTTGCCGGCTGGAATTGTATTCGCTGCTCGTATGATTGTTTTGTTGCCACTAACGCTAACAATTTGCGGTGATTGTGTTTGAAGCAGTGAAGTACGTTGTAAACTGTTTGACGTCGCCAAAATAGGTACGGTTGATGTTTTGATGGTTTTCGGTGAGATGGATTTGGTTGTTTGTGTAACAATCGGTTGAAAAGTTTTGGTAATATTTTTGCCAATGCTAATTGGTATAACATAACTGTGATTTGTTGGCGATTGAGCGGCCACCAATGGTGGAAGAGCTTTTGTTTGTTGTGGACGACGAACTTGATTTGCGGTCAAAATCGATTGATTGCCGCTGGTTTGTATCAATGTTGTTTGACCCTGCGGTGATTTGATCAGTGTGTGACCGGGTGATACATGCACCGTTTGAATGCCACCCGCTGTAGAAACCTTGATTTGGGCTGAGGTAGGCGCACCAGAAACAATGCCAATCGTGGGTTTACCAATAATTTTCGTATTGATCTTCTGATTTTTATCTAATATTATCCCTGTAATTTGCGCTTGATTTTGTACTGTCGGCGATTTGCTTATTATAATCGGTGTATTTTCCAAATTCGTGTCAATGTCCATTGTATCAATATTGCTTTCGTTTAGCTCGTTCAGCTGCTGAATTGGTACCAATTCTGGTTTAACAATTGTTTTCTTTTGCGTTGTAATCACTTTGTTGATTAATGGCGGTGGATTGGTCGATAGAGCGGGTGAATTAATGGAACTTAGAGCGGGCACTGGAAGCGATGAGATGATTACAGGTGATTGTGTTAATTTTACAGTCGCGGGAATAGTTGGTTGTTGTTGGACACTCGTTGGTGTCAAACTTGAACTCGATATTGAAACAATTCCTTGGGTTGGTATCGTTTTGATTGTAGCCTTCTTCTTTGGCGTTGTTCCGATGGGAATTGCTGCGTTTGCAGCTAACGGTATTGATGTTGAATTAACCAATAATTCTGAACAATCTGCTGGCGGATTATTCTCTGTGAGATTTGAATCGGGCGTTTTTGGTGTTGAATTTTTAACTTTTGTCTTGCGACTATTTTGTTTCTTGTGTTTGCTGAGACCCTGAAATTGTTGATGCATTATTTCAAATTCTTCTTCCGTTCGATTGCGATGCAAATAAATCCACGTTTTTCGTTTTGAATCGTATCGAACGCATGGATCATTTTCGGTGTGCATGCGATCAAGAGCGCCACTAACAATTGTTTGCAACACCGTTTCCGATGCTGATGGACAAATGTATTGTGAAGACTTGAGTAATTCACAAATATCGGTGCGAGTTCCTTCGCCATTCGGAAGCCGAGCCGTTGCATCGCGTACCAATGTTAAAATTGTCACAAAACTTGGACGATCCGTTGTCAGCATATTGTGACCGCGTGCTTTTGATAATGCCGGAATTTGTGTATAGATCCCTTTGACCGGGCCAACAACACTCTCATAACCATACATTCGGTATGTGAATGCCTTTTCCGGGTGTTCAAATCGTTTGCGTTCTTGTTCACGAAATTCGGCAGTTTCTTCGGCAGACGCTTTCTGTACCACCCATTTAGTTGGGCAACGTGGTGGTGGTGGCGGCGAAAGTGCTCTTTCGATATGAGGCGAACGAGTCTCTTCGATGGAAACCACATTGTTTGGTTTACTTCGAACAGTTTCGATTTCTTGTTTTGGTTGTGATCGTATGCCCATTTCATTGCGACGTGTCAACCAATACTCGCACAGTTGCTTCAAATGTTGATCACTGTCACGTCCAGCTCCGATCCACTGATAAATGTTCAAATTTGATTTGTACTCAATGTACGGAACAAAATCATCCGGTTGATCTAGAAACTCTCCTGCCAAAAAGTGAACGGCCGATTGAAGTAGATCCAACCAACTGTCAGCCAAGCCATACCTTAAAAGAGATGTATAGAATTAGCATTTTGAAAAAGAAAAGTTGTGTTTATTTTTTGCATATTTACCAATCATTAAGCGCTGTAATTGGATTTGCGACCCATGCACAGATTTTCGAATGTAAACTTTCGAGTGTTGTGCGATGATCAGGTGTCGAACAGAATACATCACGAATGAGTGATAAATAACATGCGTGTGTTTCTTGCAGCAAATCTGGTTTCATGTCAGCAACAATATCATTTAAAATGTCAATATTTCCCGGTTCACCGAGATCCACAGGTAGTCGCATAATATCGATACCATCCAAATCGCTGAACGAATCGGTTTTTAATGATTTATCCGAGAACGTTAAACTGTTATTCTTCAGCAATTTATCGCCCGGACTTTTGTCAATTTTTATATCCGATGATATGGAACATGAAATGGTTGGCGTTGATGTAATTGACGACACAAGTGGCAGGATATTTTCGTTGAATTTTGAATCTAAACTTGACGTATTCAAATTTTCATCTTTCACATACATCGATTGTTTTGAACTTGGATTGCCAATGAATACATCATGCACTTGTTTCTTTTTCTCTTTACCAAGTGCACCAAACATAATGCCAGAACGATTCTTTGTGTGTGGCGAACCAAGAGATTCATTTGATCGATTTGGCTTGTAATCATCATCGTGCAAAAATTGCTTGCATACATCGGTTTCGAGTTTTTCTTCTTTAATCTCGGTTTTCAGTTGACCGATATCGCTCAACGAATCTTTTATGCTCATTGTTGGCGAAATGGTTGAAATTTTATCCAAAAATGAACTATTTCGCGATAAACCAAACTGCGATGACAGACTCATGTGCGACGTATCCATCGACGGAATATCGAACGATGAACTGACCGATGGCAATAAATCAGTTTCCATATGATCCATTTTTAATTCGGGTTCGTTTTTAATTTGATTTGAATCGAAATCAACATGTGTAGGCACTTTTACGGATGGTTTTCGTCCCGGTGTATTGTATGTTCTTGCATAAATATCACTTATCTTTATGTCAGACGTATCCAATTCAATGTGCTCCTAAAGAGAAAATGCAAAAAAAAAAAACAGAAACAGTACCAATTAGTCAGTAATTTTAGACAAGAGAGATTACAAATAGAACATATGTTACCGGATCTTCATGTTTTCTAGCCTTATGTTGCGTGAGCATTTCTTGCATTATCTGTTCTGGATTCCCAACTAGTGAAATTTGGTTTAATATTTGACTGCTTCCCTTTGGAGCCATCGTACTGATAATCCTTGGCTCTGAACCGGTGCCGAATCCAAGCTAAAATTTAAGCATTTTTCACATGAAAAAAAGAAAATCAAAAAAGTATAAATACTCCACAAACTCACTTGATTGTTTCCACCGTTTCGTTTTGCTCGTTTGGCCAAACCGTCTGGGTAAAGGTCATCATCAGATAGATCTGAATCGAGTCCAACTTCTTCGCGAATTTTTTCAATTTCTTCCAAATATCGTTTCTTTGATCGAACGGTTGCTGCATTCGTAGTTAATTTAAAATTGACCGCAAATACGTCTTTCTTTTTACTAAATTTCTTTGTGTCGATTACAGTGCCATCGTAAGCATCTCGCAATTGTTGTTCACGTGACACAACCAACGACTTTGCCAAATGACTGATTCGTTCGCAATTTTGAAAACGTTGTTCTCGTCGTTGACTTTTCTTGATGTTGGCCCGTAAACGTGCGATATCTGGACGGTAATTGCCATCTTCTAAATTTCGTTGGAAATTGATCAGCGGCGATGTTTCAAATCGTGTAATTTGATTTGTGAACAATTTTTGTATCGTAGCATTTGTTTCACGTTGAACATCCTTCTTATCATTGTTACAAATTTCCGAAAAGTTTGGCAAAAATGGTTTTAATTGGTCTTTCATGTGATCGGGTAAACACCGCCATGTATCAAGCGAAAAGAATTCATTGAAAATGCTCACATTTTCGCATAAGCCTTTTGGCAATTCAAGATTTTGCTTAAGAATACGTGCCGGTTCAAGAGACTGACTTGATTGCTCCGATTCGGAACTATTCGACGATCCACTTGATGATGTACCACTTTCTGATGATTCTGTACTTTCCGAATCAGACATATTATCCATCATCATATTTTCATTATGCGCCATCACATTTAATTTTTGAAATTTTTTTTTTCTTCTTTTTCTTCTGATTCTATACTGAGTTCTTTTGTACGTAACACCTCAAAATAGCTATGGGCATGGATACCGTTTTATCCATGGCTTTCGTCTTTGTGATTAAGCGAAATGAATGGCTTTGGAAAGCACTTAATCCAATGGCTCAACCGATTTTAGGTTATGTATTTTTATGTTTTTTTCTCGTACGATCAATGTCTTCCTTTTGGCAGATCAATAAACAAATACTCTATTGTGGTGAGTCTCACTCAAATGAAAAATCTGAAAAAAAGAAGAAAATTTGTTGCATTAAAATTAGCTCAGCACCGAATTTTTAAGCAATGACAAAATAAAATGTTGTCTTATGTGATTTTTATTCAAAGAATTATAGTATTTCTATCAATCTTATTTGCATCGACACTTATTTACTGTAATTTTTTTGTTCTTGTGACTGATTTAAATTTTAAATTGAATACTTCAGTTCCGTCACGTTAAAGACCACTTTAAATGAAGTTTTTATATGGCTGAATTAAAATATTGGTTACATCACACACACATAAAGCACAATAATTCTATTAATCCGCTGGATTTGATTTGTATTTTCTAGTCTATTGTTATCTGTTTTTTATGTGATTTTTTTGTTTCATTTGTTCACTGAATCATTTTACATAGCAGTAACGTTTGGATTACAATTATGATTTTGTTGTTGTTGTCGTCGCCAAAAAGAAATATTCAACACAGACAATTTCAATAAGAAAACACAGTGTTTTTCCAATACTTAAAAAACAAACGTCTGAGAAAATTACATTACTATCACATTAGATTTCAATTGAACAGGTCAAAATTATACGAATCGAAAATGCAAAAAAAAACATTACAAAAATACTGTATAATTTGTATGTGTTTTCTTCTGTGTACACATTCACTACTTCTGTATGTTTCCGTCGCAAAATTATATTCTTTTTGCATTCGTGTATTCATACATTGGCTGCTATCCGTATCAAAGTGACTTGAACATAACAAACGCGTACCCACCACAACCACATTGGTTAAAGTATGCGCTGTATTTTTTTTCACATGAGTTCGTATCTATTTGTGCACACACCAAAAAAACAACAACAATCAGAATGTTATTGGTTGTACAATTGGTCACATTTCGTTCGTTTATTCACAATTCGGAACATTTGCTGATTTTAAATGAATGTTTGGCAAATTTTTCTCTATATACACAGTCAATAAAACAGAAAAATTCATAACCACAACAAAAACATCATCATCAATAAAAAAAAGAGTTATCTCTTTGAATGCACTAATTCTTCGCTCATTTTTTTTGTTGTCTTGCGTTTTCTCGCGCGCATATACTGTTTACTATCGCTTCTATTCCCGTATATAGCCAGAGATCTACTCTTGTGTATTATGTATTTTGTGCGTTTTTTCTATACATGTCAAAACACATACTGGCTGGATATGAGACTTTTGCCGAAATTGCACAAATCCTAAGATTCGATAAAAAATCACTTATTTTCTGCACATACAATTCGTTCAATATAACTTACACACACCTTTTATCCACTCCTATTTTACATTGAATATTTGGCAGCAAATTTTATTTAAAATGAGACACACATTTCATCGAAAAACGCGATTCAAGTTTGTTATGTGTATTTGGTTACTGTGAGAAGAGTCGCGTGAATTCCATTCGAGACGTTTAGATATAACGTAGATTCGGCGCGTACACATACACAAACACATACAAAATTATAGTATATATATAAGCATCGAACGAATGAAATTCAGATCAATAGATGCCGCCACAATGCACTCAAAAGATTTTTTAAGCAGAAATATGCTTGAAAATTTGTTAATTTCAGCGATTTTTCGAATATATTCGATAAATATTTCGTTAAAAATGAGTTATTGTCTTCAAACATGATAAATTTAACAAAATAAATCATAATAATATCTCTTTAAGTCCTTATCATTTAGATACCATTGATAATAAGCATCCAATTGAAAACCACTAGCAAAAGCACATTAACTCATCGAACTACACGCTTTCAATTGATTTAAATTCAAATTTAATGTATTTTTAATAAATAGTGCGCATAAATATTCATAAAATTCATTTAAATATATCGAATACTTTTGTGCCAAATTGATGTTTATCACCATCGTGTGTAGTATCGTTAAGTTGTCTTCTTGTGCTGCGGTCGGTGAACGATGTATGCTACGTTATGAATGTCATTCCGTATCGCTTTACGTGTATGAGTGTATGCGTTTGCATGTCTGTGTACAATATTTTGAATGAATAGAGTGAATTGTTTTCGGACGTAACATTGTGCCAACTGTAAAATAAGAAGTAATGCGATCAAGTGCGATGGTAAGAGCACGACGATAAAATGCAAGCATTTTTGGTGCGATAAACAATTTGACATTTTGCCATTGACAGCAGCAAACCAAACACACAGACACACGATAATCGTTTCGAATGCAAAGAAGAAGAAAATACTTCACCGTCCGTCTCTGTCAGTCTCATTCACAGTTGGACCGTAGTCAATGTGTGGTATATGTGTGTGTCTTTTAGGCCACTATAAGCGTGATGCTTTTACACTTTTCGCTTCTGGTTCGAGTAGTTATTATTAGTTCGTTTCTCGTGCAGTGAGTTGGTACTAAATGAATCAAGCGGAAAGCATCGAGAACGATAAAAGGGAAGAAAAATTACACATCAAAACGATATCGTTTGAACGATTTTATTGGCAAAATTTGAAATGAATTTATTTTAAATAAGTAACAAGTGCATTCATTTAACGGAATCATTTGCGAAATATACAAAGTTCAAGTGTTGTGTGATCACACTGTGTGTTTTCGTTTTATGCCAGTTTCACAATTATTCGCAATTGCATTGTTGCGAACGAAAAGAGAGAAAGAAAAAAAAACTAACGAAGAATATTCATTAGTTTTGCATTCCGAGAAATGAAAATGAATAGTTCCTATTAAATAATTCTATCGAATAATCGACAGAGAAAAAAACTGCGACAAATTATTAGCTCTAGTAATTGCAATCATCAAAATAATTACAACATTGTGCATGACAACAAGTTCAATAAGTTTTGTGCATCATAAAAGTATTTAAAGATTTTTCAAGAGCCAATACAAACGACACAATCTCACACACAAAAACGAAGGAAGCCAAAATGAGCGACCACGATTTCAAACTAAATGTGGACAGTTTAATCGACAGACTGTTAGAAGGTATGTGTGAACATTAAGACCGTCATGGTTGCATTTTGAATTGATAATTTTCAATAAGCGATAATAATGAAAAAAATCAAAAGAACAAAAAAAAACTAAAATTTAGCAGCCGATTGAAGTGTTGTTGACTCCGTAAGTAAAATGTAACAACAACAACCATACGCAATGGTGTGCGGTACAGGTTAAATGAAAGTTCACTGCAAAATATATGAACAAAAGAAGAAAGAAAAATATGCAACAATTCGATGTACATTTGCACAACTACTCGACCACGAAAACGAAAAATGACCCAACGCGCGCGCGATACATACACACACACAAATCTATAATTCTGATGTTGAATTATGCACATTTTTGTGGTGAGAAGTAATAAACGAAGCAATATATATAAAGCAACCAATACTCAATGCTCATCTTATAAACCGCAGCAATTTTTCATATTCAATGTGCATTTCGGTGCGCTTCACTGTATTTAATTAAATAAGAAATTCACAAGTGATCGTGAGGCAATTTAAGTTAATGTGTGTGTGTGTGCCTTGTGCAGTGGAACGTTGTTGTTTGTTGCCAACAAAACACCAATAGCAACAACAACAATAAAATAAAATGATGTGCGATGGCGTCAGTATATACACATATGCATTGAAGATTAATCACGTTGTGAGTCGAAGTTTCTGCTTCAATTTAAAATTATATCAATCATGCAATAGCAAATAATATAATATTTATACGATGATCATCTTAAAAGGGAGGCTTAAATTACTCAAAATTGAGATCGATTTACGGCGAACCTCTGTATATAGATTTAAAATCAATATAGATCTACTGCACATCGCACACCGTATACCGTATACTATGAACACGTTCAGTCGTTCATTTCGATCGAAACAAATACGGTATTGATTCAACACAATTGACATGAATTTCGTTTAACGAATATAAATCTTTCACATCTTATACCAAATTCAAGTGGATTATGAGCTCGTATTGAAACAGCCGCAGACATTTCTGAACACTCGACATAATCACTCAAAATAAATGCAATGATTCATTCGAATAAATTTCAATTAAGAAAATACAAACACATAATGACTCGGAAATTCAACGGCAAAAGCGCTTCAATCTCGGTCTTTTCATCAAACTTTTCAAAATATTGTTTTAAGATATTTTTTACGTCATTCGTTTGTGGTATGTTTTGCTGACCAAGTGAATGTAAGATAGTCAATTACTTATTTGTGCGTAATACACATTGTGCATCTAAATGCTTACAAAATCCCTTCAAATAAATTATTTTATTTGTGTACTCTATTTATTGGGCCGATCAATCAAGGCAAAATTGAAGGTTTATTGAAGCAATAATACGTATGGTCTCTGAAGTAATAACAAGAATTAGAATTTAAACCAATTCATACGTTGTACTGAAGGTTAACTCAGTGTGAATAAAAACAAAGCCCAAAACAGAATGAAAAGTGGCAGCAAAGTTGGAGAAAGAGAAAGAAAGAAGAAAATGAAGATAAAGAGAAGGAAAGAAACCCGAAACAGTTATGATAGATTGCGATTTAACTATCGCATAGAAGTGTGTCTGTGTGAAAATGTGCGAGCGTTAACAGAATTTCATGCATGTAAAAAACTTCAGCAGCAGAAATAAAAGAAATAAACTGTATCTACAATATACATGTGATTACTAGTTAGATATTCTCTCATTTTACCGCTTTGGCCGTTAATAATGTTTTTGCTCTCTTAACTTATTTATCTAATAATAATAAAAAAGTTTTCATCGTAGTCGTCGTTGTCGTCGTCGTATGACTACATCAGCGTGACAAGTAACAAGCTTTGCATTTTGCTTGGCTTTATGCAATTGAGTAATGTATACTTGGCGAACAAAACAAAACTTGTTGTTGATTTTGTTGAGGTAGCTGTTGTTCTTGTTTCATTAGAATTTGGTATTTGTATAGTTTGCACATTGCACATACAGATACACACACACGCGCGCTCTGAGTTTTACTATGTTGCCCCATGGGAAGGCGATCGCCAAACTAATGAACTGTATTTATTTTATGGAGAATTTGTATTTTTAATGACAGTCCAGTTTGTCAGATTTGGCTTTTCATGGCAATTATGTGATTCTCGTATTCGTTTCTAGCGCTTAATGAGCTTCGTAACGGCGATGCTAGGTATTTGGTGGTAAAATTTTCGCAATAAATCATAAAATGCTTATCTTTTATCCACTAATGATGTTCAATTTTGACAATATTTATTTATCGCAATGATATCGCGATTTCCACCATTTAAATAAATGTGTGGCAATAACAAGACGGCGAACCGCATTTAACCTGTTCATAATTTAATGCTCAAATGCATAACGATGTGGTTCATATCTCATTTTGAATTCCCATTCATTTTAATTGATCTGTATTCTTTGCTTACGTTACATTCTACGAAGCGGTGCACATTGTTTTAAAAGTCATAACATTTACATTTACTTGAGTTTTCTTTTTATCTTAAATTAAAACCATTTTCGCTTGAACAACGACCATCTATTAATAGACCGACCGTAAAAATAGCAAATACAAATAATGAATTGAATTGAGCCGTGCAAATCGCACAAAATAATATCACATCATGTAACGAATGAATGAATTTGAAGCAAAGTGCAGACCAAACATAAAACTTTAAAAAAATGTACAACAACAGCAACAAAAACAGTAACAACACAAAATCACAAGAAAACTAAAGAAATAATAATCGAACAGAAACAGAGACGAGAACATGCTTCGACCCATGTACAGACACTATATACCACTATTCGATTCAAGATCATCCAGTATAAATAGAATTTGTACTATGAATTTGAGTGTTTGTACAGTTCGACATCGCAGAGAGATTTTTTCAGGTTTTTTTTTTCTCTTCTTCGATATAAAATAATCAGTATCAGAGCAGAAAATTTCAGAATATATTTCCATTAGGGCAGTTCATTGTGTTGGCTTTCAAACCATCCAGAGTGTGATTCAATAAAAAAAAGAAAGAATATGAACACCCACAACCACTATTTCACGAATGAACGAATTTTTCAATGCTCTCGAACTTTAAAAGATTCGATTAAGACTGCGGACGATTCGTAAATGCCAATCACTCATAAAAGAGATGATAAAAATGTTTCAGCTGTTACAAACATTTCAATGACGTACAATTTTACATAAGTTCATAACTTAAGTGAGTGTATTGTATATGTATTATATGTATAAATGTATTCTATCATCAACAATGTAGCACGAATTGCTTTATGTTACAATGTTGAAAAATTAACGCTTCTCTTTCGCCGGTTTTTCCCTTGATTTTAATTTTCTTTTCGCCGAACACTGACACTACATTAAAAAAAAATAACGAAATGTGATCGTAAATCATTCCACACAAATTTGGGACACAGACACATTTTTGCGTTTCTGTTCGTTTTGACGTCATCAGACAGTTGAAGTGTTCTTTTTTCTGGCGTCTTTATCAAAATGTCGCCTTTTCGATCCTACTGCAAAAAGGTGATTGACTCGTGATTTTGTATGAAAAACAATGAATTGTTACTAAATTATGCAATTAGACATGATTGCAGACAACTGTTTGTTCGATGTATATATTTTACATCAAAAATGTCAATCACATTCAGTCGATTAGGTTTCAATTTGTTTCGTTTTATTTTATTTGCACACTGGATTGGCTTTTATTTAGTTTGGCTTTTATAAATCATTCAAATTTAAAAACTTTTACTCTTTTTTACTACATTCCATTGGCGGTTTGTGAAGCCAATCAAATTAAATGCGATCCAGTTGATTCGGCGACACAAAACGATGCATTCAAAGTAAATGTGAAGAAAAAAAAAATGTCATTTTATGTGAAAACCCATTGAGGCTTTGAATTGGCGCTCCCATCGTCAATAACGACGATGACGACGACCTTGTCATGTGGTTACACAATACACAATTGTTCTCCCTTCTGCAATGGACAAATGATATCCGTCATAAAATTTAGTCGATATTTCCGATCATACGATAATAATGGTTTCAACGATTCAACTCACAAGCTTTGATTTTATCGCTCAAAAATGTTGGACGAAACATTTATTCAAGCAATGGAAACAAATCAAAAATTGACTTTTGAACACGTGTATCAAATTTAACCGGATTCGCATTGCGTCAGCTCTGTTATTTTCATATAAACACCCGAAACCGCATGTCTGTGACGCTGTCAGTTATGGAAACACGGTTTGTTTATTTGGCACGGATAAGGATTATTTTTTTTTTTACGTATATATTGAACGTGCCAAATGAATGAATTTTCAATTTCGTACGAACCAACTTTGCTGGCGTTCTATAACGAAGATTGTTGTAAGTCGAAAGTTTTCAGCTGCGTAATTAAACAGTGCCGTGTTTGTGACAGTTTCATTTAGATTATAAATTGATCTGAAATATAAGGAAAAAGACCGACTGTTACCGATTTATTTGCGAGAGGAAACAAAATGGAAATTGAATCAGTTGTTGATGGAATGGAAAGCAGCCAGCGGAAATTCTTCCATTCAAAACGATGTTGTCCGCAGTTTTTCTTCTTCTTAATGTGACTGATTCAATAGAAAAAGTTTCTCAATGCGAGTTTGAAAATGACATTGAATGAACAGCAGTAAGCACATAGCTCAAAGCGTCGTCATTTTTAAACTGGCAAAACAAATTGAAAACAATCGATGAATTCAACCTTGAATATGTTTGTTCAGTGTGTCAACGAGACGTACAATCAATTAATTTTCTTCTAACTTTTTGTGTGATTATACGACAATTTCATCCAGAAATTGGTCTTACGCAAATGTTAGTTTTCATTGCGACGCTGTCGTAATTGTGGCGCATCAGAATTCACCGACTGCAGAATCGAATATATACGAATATCGGATGATTATTATTGAATTTGGAGTAAATTTGTCATTATTTTGTCTGATTTCAATTGTTTAATTTAACAAAACGCAAGTGCCTGCTTTCGTTCCACAATTGTTAATCATAACAATGCCTCACTCAATGCAAACATTTATAATAATACCATCCTGTTTTTTTCTCTCTATCTTTTATTTATCAACAAATCACTAATTTTGCGCATTATGAATAATGAATTGAATTTAACATGATACAATTCTGATCATAACAAATGAACAAAAAAATACGATAAATAATGCCATCGATTCCAACGTGCTCCACTTTTATTGATGTACATAAAATTTATCTTCAATTCGACGAGGAAGTTTTACATCCACGCACAGCGGAACAACATCCGGCCAAGAAAAAAGGAATCAAAGAATTCTTTTCACCTGATTTCGGTATTGTACTCTATTTCCTTGCAACAACACACAAATTCGCATTTAGATTCAGAATTTTGAAATAATCAATTCCTATTCGTTTGAATATCACATTTTACATTTCCTCTACAATGATTTCCGTCGATTTATTCGATAAATCATTTTTTATGTATATTTGAATCAAACTTTTGTAAATAATAAATTCAGCTGCCAAAAGTGTCAGAGTCCATATCCCGTTATTTATTTTGAACGCTAGCCACCCGATGAACAATTGTAAAGCTTTCACATTCATTCTATTCATTTCAAGTTCATTTTTACCATTCTATCATTATCTACCGAAATTTGTTTTTGAAGTGACGACACCACACACATGCAACGACAACAAAAATAAATGCAAGTCACAAATATGTTCATTCGGTATTTTCCAACGACTCACTTTTATGTATATAATTAACTTAAGTATTTCATCGATAAATGAGAAATAATCTGGTCATTTGTCGCATCGAAATGTCATTGCATTTTCCATTGTGTGGCTTCGAGAATATTATGGATGGAAAAAAAGTCCAACAACAATCGTACAATGCAGTTCATCGTAAATGTAACCTTTTTGTCGACAATCACAGTCACCTTTCTCGTTCAACGGTGTAGCTCCAATCAGGGTTATTTGTGTCACAATGCTCTTGTTCTGATTGTGTTTTAGATGGAAAATGATTCGTTATTTCTTTTTTACTGCCATGAAGCTGGCGCTTTTGTCATCAAAATCTGCATAGCCAACTTCGATAGAATTGTGTGCTGAGTGAAACAGCATGCATATATTTCTGTGTTGCCCCTATCCATTCGGTAGAACAACTGCTAACTGGATTGTAATTGCCACCAAGTGTGGGATAGTCTTTGTAAGCTTTATTTTCAGTTGACTGATCCGGTTATTGAATACACTTTACAAATAGAAATACACCGATGCAGTGACGGTTATGCTACAAGAAATATTTCACATCATATCGGTTATTGAGAGATATTATATAAATATTTACCATTTCTCTGGAATTAATCTTTTACTTGACCGAACAAATTTTCCGCCCGTCTATTTGTCTTCTATTAACCCATATTGCCATTGTATATATCTATTGAATATATCGAGAGGAGAGTATGTTTTTATTCAGAGATTACTCAGCCATAAGCGCTGAATAACATACTCTCTTCTCGATACATTCAATAGATATATTAAATCGATAGATTTGTTTCAATTTATCAATGGCCTTTCGATATCACTTTTACCATTTTCATGCCATGTTTTGCTTCACTTACCACATTCATATATAGGTCGACCTGGGCCCCAATGTAATAGATCTAGGTTGACGTAAAATACACATCATGTGTTCGAAATTCATTTCAATTAACTTAACTACGCTGATTGAATCGTTACTGATGAAATGATAAAACAAACATTAAAACAACATTGATTTCCCTGCCAAAACCACATTTCGTACAACCACATACAACTTCTCAATCGTTTTTCCCTTCGTAAACAGATTCCATTGCTCATTTAAAAATGAGTCATTTTCAGTTGGATAAGTGTATGCATATTTCGTTTCCTCACTTTTTAACTACTTTAACCACCTACTGTATAATTAGATCTGGAAAATTGGGAATTTGCGTGCAAACAAAATTCCGTGCTTGATCCTTGCTTCATACGAAATCATATCGCTCATAATTTTTGATTGTTTCTTTTTTCAAATAGAATATTATAGTGTAGATTTCTTTCTAAATGGTATATTTCGTTTCAGTTAAAAAATGCCGACCGGGAAAAAGCGTTCAAATGACCGAACAGGAAGTTCGAGGTTTATGCTTGAAATCACGTGAAATATTCTTGCAGCAACCAATACTCTTGGAACTTGAAGCACCACTCAGCATTTGTGGTAAGTTGTAAAAAAAATTCAGCGCGTTTGTAGTGTTTATACACACCGTGCTCTACAATGAGAAGCAAAATGTGGACATTTTTTTGAGAAAATCATTCTTTTATTTAAACAGGCGATATTCATGGTCAATTCACTGATTTATTGCGATTATTCGAGTATGGCGGATATCCTCCAACAAACTATCTGTTCTTGGGCGACTACGTAGATAGAGGCAAACAATCGCTGGAAACAATATGCTTGTTGCTTGCCTACAAAATCAAATATCCGGAAAATTTCTTCTTATTGCGTGGCAACCATGAATGCGCTAGCATCAATCGAATTTATGGTAAAACTATTGAAACCAACAATTTACGAATAATTGCTAATAAAGATGTGTGCGTGTGTGTGTTTATTTAGGTTTCTTTGACGAATGCAAACGACGCTACAACATCAAATTGTGGAAGACATTTACAGATTGCTTCAATTGTTTGCCAATCGCTGCTATTATCGATGAGAAAATTTTCTGTTGTCACGGCGGCTTGAGTCCGGACTTGCAAGACATGGAGCAAATTCGACGGATTGTTCGGCCAACAGACGTGCCAGACACAGGCCTATTGTGCGATCTTCTATGGAGTGACCCAGACAAAGAAGTCAAGGTAAATGACTGAATGGCCGTGAATTTGAAATTATTTAGGTAAATCGATTACTGGAAATTTTTTGTTTATAAATTAAGGATTGGGGTGAAAATGATCGGGGTGTAAGTTTCACCTTCGGTGCTGATGTCGTGTCGAGATTTTTGCGAATGCATGACCTGGAGCTGATATGTCGTGGCCATCAAGTGGTCGAAGATGGTTACGAATTCTTTGCCAAGCGTCAACTGGTGACGTTGTTCTCAGCTCCAAATTACTGTGGTGAATTTGACAATGCAGGCGGTATGATGACGGTCGATGAATCATTACTGTGTTCCTTCCAGGTTTGTAATCAACAAACTTATTTAACTACTCAATTTAGAAATGTTATTTTAAATTCATTAAAAATGGAACAAATTTTTTTTTTCTGCAGATTTTGAAACCATCAGAAAAGAAAGCGAAATATCAGTACAATTCGATAAATAATACAAGCCGGACCAACTACCCGAAATAAATAAGCGCTTGAGCAAAAAATTAAAAAGAAAAAAAAAATAAGGAACAGTAAAAACTATAACAAATTTATGTCTTCTTGAAGATTCAAATTCTTATTCATTAAGTCATTATCATATTATTATTTTTCATTTTGAATATCATAATTTATTTAAATCTTTCACTTAGCTCTTACCAAATGTATAAAAAGAATAATGCGATAAAGTCACGATGAGAACGTGGCAGAATGGATGTGAAACAAATCGTTGAAACATTTTAGCAACATTTTTAGTTAAAAAGAAAAGTCTTGATTGATAATTACTATGGGAGGCAAGTACTCGGCCACATTTCGATGTGCATTTTCAAAAAAAAAATGTAATTGTTCCTCTTCTCTTTCCATATTATTCGTTTTCTTTTCTCTTCTAACCGATTTTGATTTTTTGTTGTCAAATATTGTTCGTGTTGTAAAAGAAATCACTTTCCATTCAAAATTCCAAAATTATAAAAACCAAAAGTATATAAACGTAGAAAATCAATTTAATCCATTAACGATCATATTTTTCGAACTAATTTAATTCTTTCGGAGAATTGAAATTGGAAGTACATTCTACAGTTGAAGCTATAGTTTGTATTTGATTATTTAAAAAAATTCTTTTAAGTAAGTATTTTTTCTTTATATTAACGGTCGTTAATGGATTAATTTTACGTTGTTTAAAATATTATAAATAAAAAAAAAAAACAAATCCCAAGTGGACACATATTTGAAATTCAAATAAAATAAAGTATCTGTTCCTATATTTTTGTATGTCAGAATTGTTATGGCCTGCTCAGATTCGATTCAATGTACATAAAGAAAATTTCATTAAAAAATGCATATGTACTTAAAACGAGGGCATAGTCCCGTTGAATTTTTTCTTTATTTTTTTAAAAAATGATTTGTGTTTTGTCTCTCTATATTACGAGGAATTCAAATTAAGTATATTATTAGACGTGGCCTTTTAAACTCAATCGCGGACTGCTAAAATGTGAAATTGAACTGAATGAATCAAAAACATATTTATAGGGTATGCTATTTATTAAGTTGGAATTGGGCGTGAGATACACGCAATCGAATGCGAATGTTTTGAATTTCGAATTATTGACCGTCCACCATTTGATTAAAATAAAACTACAAACCACTGAATTGAGACCAAATTTGGAATTGCACAAAAGTCTTCAACTTTTTCAATTTTCGATGATTGAATTGAAATCGAAAATCAGTTGACACATGAAAATATTTCAAAAGGCTTCACAAATTGTGTGTGGTGGATCAATTTCTTCCATTTTTCGTAGCTAAGTCTTTTTCTTCAAAATCAAACATCTTTTGATATCTTTTAGCTCCGATTCAACCATTACTATTTCGATTTCATCCTCGGCAAATTCATATATAAAAACATTTCGTAAATAAAATTAGAATTTACACTCGACCCAATTCCTGCAATTTTTTTTTAAATCAAATGTAAGACAATTGAATTGCATGTTAAATCTATATCAATATTATTGAATGTCAACTTAAAACGTATTCAAACACCATCTATTTATCTATTTTAAGTCATCCAAATTAATACATCTATCAAATTAAATCAAAACTGAATTTTTTCGAAGTTATGTACAGAAGTATGCTTATGAATTATGAAAAGAATAAATATTGTCTGTTGTCAGAAAAGAAAATGAAGGCGTTTTGTTTTGTTTCATTTTATTTTTTGCATCTTTATAGGTACTCACAAACATCCTGACTTTCTTCACACGAAAAAACCAAGTGTGAATTCATTTTTTGTTTTTGTTTGGTCAATAACTATTTTGTCTATATATATTGCATACGTTACCTTATATTAATATTTATGGCATCAGCAATCGACTCGTTTTTGCTTTTATAAATGAAATTTTCTGCTATGAAATCATTTTTCTAGACAAAATATTGGTATACGAAATAGAAAAATGTGATACATTTATTCAGCCCAATTGTTAGTTCTTTTGTTATATTGAAAAGTATTTCAATGGATTTTTCAACGCGGAACTCTTTGACTATAGGTTAATATATTACATGGAAAAAATCTTAAAATTATTATGGAAAAATAAATCTTGCTTTATGCAGAAGTGATTTTTCTAACGTTGCGTCTGTTAATGTTAGTATGCACTGGCACACTAATGTTGGTATTTTTAAGGTTTACATTTTAACTTGATAATCATATTCTATAATTGTATTTTATTGATTGGTGGGAAATGAGAATTTTGTTTAACTCAAATGTTAACCCATTTAATACGTAAATTAATGTATTGTCTAAGAAATTAATGCCATCGTTTTTTTAGCGTCTCATGCTACTGTTCAATCTTTCTTTGATTTCATCAAAATTATTGATTTTTATGATCGTTGATCGATTCATATTCAATGTTGTATTAATGCGAAAGTAAAATAGTTGGGATTAATCGTATTCCTTACAAAAATCCAAAATCATGGCTCCAATCATGCGATTCGTCGCGTTTTAGATCAACCAAACTGTAGTCAGTTGTGCGCGTAGCCCATTTCGTTGCCAAAAAAATCTTTTCTTCAACGTAAACTGTCACCTTTCGAGCTCGCTCTAGTGGTTCCCGTTCATTATTCCACATCGATAGATCGAGGACGATAGTTCCGTTCGTTGACAATTCAGTTGGGTTGAAATTTTCAATTCGTAATTTGTGCAATTTCACAGAGCCACGGATGAATGCCTAAACAAACAAACAAACAAACAAACAAACAAACAAACAAATACATATATAATACACTGTCATTGTCATTTTAGCCGCAACACATTTCTTTGCGGGTAAAGCGGCATTTTAACATGTGACAAAATTTCTCCATGTTAAAATGGTGTTTGCTCTGATTACTTTGAATTTGAACATCTGAGTTTTCGAAGAGTAAAGTTATAACTAGATATATATAACTAGATAACTAGCTTAAACTAACTAACCAAAATGTCCAGGACAGATGCATTCACCAGAGAGACTTGCTCAATGTTAGCGAGACCATTCACCATCCCGACCATATCAACGCCTGAAGTTAAAATTCCTGCGCCACATCTAATCCGTATCTCTTTCAAATCGTTCATTACAAATGAACGAATCCATGTGTCATGCAAATACAGCTTTTCAATTTCACTCATTGAAATCATCCACTCCAAGTGCCATTCAGCCGTAATTCCATATCCGTAAACGTGCAATCGCTCGTAGAATCGTTTGTCTTCGGTCATTTTGGACAAATATTCCATTGTACCTGCAACCTCTAATGATTCCGTGTCATAATCGTCACAATCAATGGCGAACACGTCCAATTTCAAGTTATCGGTACCAGACCAATCACCATTCATACTGACGGCAAAATGTCGAATGTTTGAATTTTGTTTGAAAAATGCCTTCAATGGTAGGTTTTCGAAAGGAAAGCCTGTCTTTGTCAGTTCAAAACGTTCTAGCATCGGGTACTTGCGAAGCAACCAATCATTATTCGTACCAATCAAAACATTAACGGGAATCTCTTCTTCAAAAATGTTTTCGGCATCCGAACTTTCTGATGATTGTGTTTCAGAGTGATAATAGAAGTAAGTGGCTTCTGAATTGGCATCGCTTGTTCGTACTGATAGACCAGTCATCTTCGAGCAGAAATGAAGAAAATTCGCGTAGAACTCATCATTTAATGTGCATTCTATAACCTCAACAATTTCAGCGTTGTTCAAAATTTTCTTGATGCATCCAATTTTTTCGTCAGTCAATTTGATTTTGTTGATTTGAATTCGTTTGATCAACGTAAAATTGTTTGAGTCAACAAAACGAAAGCAGTTCAAATCATCAGTTTTGATAGCCATATTGTGAATATAGTCACAAAAACCATTCACTTGAATGTCACCAAAGTAAATTCCATCACGTTGACATTGGATACGAGCTGCTGGATAAGTTTCTTTGAATATGTATCCGGCAACTTTTTGTAGCCGCTTGCATGTTTGGCCCAATGCATGCAAATCAGCCAAACACAACCATTCAGCCACCGCTTCGAAACAATCACCATTCAATTTGAATATTTCCGATGTTTGATTGTCTTGAAATTGGGCGTCAGCCATTGGTTCGTTCATGTTTGCAAAACTGTAGTTTTACTTTGGAATTGATGAAAATTGATTTCGATCTAAATAAAAGCATGAATTATAAAGATAATAAATAAAATGTGGAAAGAGTTTTACGTAATGGTAAAAAAGAACATATATTTTTACCTTAGAAATAGATTAGATGTGATGGAATCAAACCGCTTTTTGAACTCAGTTAATCTACGTATTCAAATGAAAATGGACGCCAAGCAAATTGCATGATGCAATTGGTAGTTCAATAAAATGAAAATGATGTCGCCGTGTGCTGTGACTTTTGGGACACATCTGATCCTGTTCAAGGTTTCAAAACGAACGGTTAAAATTATTTAAATTCATTGAGGAAATATATTAATTATTTTTTCAATGGACATTGTAGTGAGACTTTTCTTTAATAGGAGTGTATTCTATACATAATCTTTTTCAAATAAAAGAAATTATTTTAAATTAGAACTAATCAAACTTCAAAGTTTATCAAATAAATGTAACAAAGTTTCTTACGAATGCGATCAGTGTTTTCTAATTGAATTTTCTAATTTATCGTATTGACTGAATTGAGCTATTATTTGTCGACTTATGTCATATGATACTTATATTTGGTTGTTAAACAATTTTGTAAAGTCGACAAACACATACACATTTATGTTAGTATACAATAAAGCAAACTTAAAGCCAATGATACGAATGCCAAAAAGGCACCACTTCAGTTTCAGTTTCATCCAAACAATAGCTGCGTAATCTTTAAATTTATTTTCGTAAAATGACAAAAATGATGCATTTATTTGTCATTTGCTCCGTAATCTTTAATGTGATCAATGCAGCTCATTCGAATGTGATTTTCAAAAATTAACCGCTTTTCATAACATTGTAGGTTCAGAAATTGGAAAAATTACAAAAATAAAAGTGTCCGATTGCGAAGAATCATCTGAGATATGCCTTTTGAAACGTTTCACGAACGCAACTCTCGAATTGGAATTTGAGCTTAGTAAATATTTTAATGTGAATCCATGTTGCCATCGAAATAATTCAATCATTATGATTATTACAGTTGCTGGTGATATTATTAACGAGGTGCAAACGGTTGTAAATGGAATTCTATTCGATGCTGAAATCCCCTTTCCGTTAGAAAATCCAAAAGCTTGTTTGGAACATGGACTTTCTTGCCCCTTGATCAGACATAAAATCCACACATTTCGCCAAAGTCTTCCCATTAAAATTTATTATCCACCGGTGAGTAAAATCAAAAAGGAACTCAGTCATGTTTTCTAAAGTCGTAATTTTTAAAGGTGAGTGTCACTGTAAAGTGGGCTATAAAAGATGTCAAATCCAGCAAGACATTGATATGTGTGCTTATCCCGGCTCAGATCACTTTGTTCTAGATTGACATGAAATATTTGAAATCATAAAAAACCTTTTTCAATCCTTGTCTAAAATGTTTTTTTTTTTTATCACAAAATTGTGTTCGGATTTTTTGTTTAAGAAGTATTAAAGTAACCCTTATATCTACAAGTGTTTTGTTTGAATTTTTTGCTATTCCCTTTGAATTATTTTAAAATACAAGCAGCACCATCTACTTACTTCAGTTTATTACCGCGCAGTTTGACAATATTTGTAGCATATTCGAAAAGTAAAAGTACTGCCAAATTATATATTTTTGAAAGTATATTTTGATATATTTTTTTGAAAGTAAATAACTCAAGGGAGTATAATTGAGTGATTTCTTTTGTAACATACTTAATTTTGTGCATTTTTTTCTCGTCGGAAATGGATATTTATTTTTATTATAATTTAGTTGTCTCAAATGGCGTCAAAAATAAGAACATCCTATTGCTACGTCGTTGACATCGTAAGTAGATCACTATATTGTCATATAAGATCACATGCAAAAGTAAATCAACGTTAATTGAACGAAATAGGATAATATTCAATTTGTCACATTGATAAAATGATGTCCAAATATGGATTAAACGGTTACATAAAATACGTGATATAGCATTAAGTGAGACACAAACATGACAATTTTACACACGAGCACATTCAATGGTGACGCAAATACAAGACCACTTTGATTTTTCTTCGTTAAAGCGATTGGGACAACAGAATAAACGAATGGACAACGGACGCTATTGTCGCATACATATACACATTTAAACAAAATGAAATGTGTATTGTTTGTTAAATATGTAATACAATGACATATCTCAATTGTGTGTTGTGTGTAGTCGTGTGTGACCAGTGGTGCACGGACGCAAAAATCAACATCATCGGCTCATAACTTGAGTTCTATTTCAGTCGAACGGTTGCTGGCAAAATCACTGCTGACTTACTATTGTGAAATCAATTTCGAATAGTGTTAAAAATAAGAAACAAATTAAAAACGGTTTTCTAAAACATACAAAACAAAATGGACAAGTTTTTAGTATTGACATTGACGTTTGCATTGATTTTTGGCTCAAACAATGCACTGGAATTCAAAGATTGTGGTAAGAAAATCGTCGATAATTGTTTTAGCTTCATATAGTTTGTGCGTTTTGAGTTAATTTATGTTTTCATAAATAAAATGCGCAATATCGCCCAAATATAGCAGGAAAAAATGAATTTTTTCATCGGAATTTGACTAATTATCATTTTTCGGCTGAAATCAGTAGACCAAAACATAAAAAGATTTACTTATCGTTCGTCGAAATAAATGCCGTTTATATTTTCAATGTCACAGCAAATTGATATCGGTCGGTTTCGCCTGACATAGTATCGATAAAATGATTTACAAAAATATTTATATATATATGCTTAGACATATTTTTTCGTAAATAATTGATAAAAAGTTACTTACTTTGTTGTTTACAATTCAAAAATATTATGGTTTTAGTTCGTTCAATGCGACTTAAAATTTTAATAAGATTATGACGGAACTTGACCGCTTGAATAAATCTAGTTACAAAAATAAGTGAAGAACAAAGCTGATGAAATGTGAAATAACTAAATGATGCGGCATATTTTTGCTTTACATTTGTCAAGTACGATAGGTATTGAAGGGCTTCATTGCATGCTTTGTTCTACGTTTTTTTCTACAGAAACTCTATACAGCAGTATTTACGAATCGTAAATTAAATTTTGTTTCTTCAATTAAGGTTCGGAATTGGGGAAATTCAGCAAAGTTGTTGTATCTAATTGTGACGAAGCGTCTAGTGTTTGCGTCTTAAAACGTCACACAAATGCAACCATTGACTTGGATTTTAATTTGGGTAAGTTTCTTTTATCACATCAATTATATTGGAGTTCACAATAAAAAGACAATCTCAGTTTATATCGTCAATAAAACGCTCTTATTTTGTATGCATTTTGACGTAATTGATCTTCTCATTGTTTTCAACAGTTGATGACAGCAAAATTGAGAATGTGTCAACTGTTGTACATGGTGTTATACTCGGTGTAGAGATGCCTTTTCCGTTGGCAAATCCGAATGCTTGTGTTGACAGTGGCATCGAATGTCCATTAGAAAAAGGAAAAAACTACAATTATCAACAAACGTTGCCAGTTTTGAAGTCCTATCCAAAGGTATGTCATTGATTTTTTTTAAATAATTATTCGCTTCATCAGATTTTATATAAAAAATTAAACAATACATTTCATATTCAAGGTTTCCGTTACCGTCAAATGGGAATTGAAAGATGTGACAAGTGCAAAAACTATTATCTGCGTTCTTATTCCAGCCAGAATCGAATAAATAACAACGGAATGTCAATCAACTGTGACATTCTAAAAATCAGCATCATTTCAATGTTACATGGGGTCATCATTTAATTAAAACTCATCAAAACACAAGCAATGTTTTATTATTATTATTATTAGTTTGCTGTATAACGCTCCCTTTATCAGAAATAAAAGCAAACCGCATTGCGACTACGTTGAATTAATAAGCGTATGCCCAATTTGATTATGTATTCTAATGTATCAACAATTTGAAATGTGTGTTGTGTTTATTTTAAACTGTAAACTGTATCTATCAATGTTACCAACTTAATTCATTACTATCTTGTCAGTTTCTTATCAGTTTTGTTTGACAGTTCATTGTGCACCATTCCATTCGAGTTAAAATTGTTTCTGGTAAAGATTTTATTTTTGAATTAAATATTTCGTTTATTAGAATGGAAACAATGGGAGTTTTATTTGAAATCGCGTCTGATGATTTGCTCAATATTTGCCGTACATGTTTGAACGTATTGACAACAGACAAAATATCGATTTTCAATGCATTTGACATGGATGAACAAAACAACCAGGCCAACGTTGAAACTCAGATGAAAATACGGATTTTGGATGTTATTTTACTTTGCGCTTCTGATGTAACGGTTAATTACAATTTTATTAACATTTTATTTGTAAAGCAATATTCGTTTATGCAAAACACTGATTATTTTAGATTGATGAAAATGATGGATTACCCAATTTTATATGTGAGAAATGTTTGAATGAATTGCAACAATTTTATAAATTTCGTAAACAAATTGAGAACGTTGAACGAATTTTACACAATTTGAAAACAAAAATGTGCTTTTCAACTGTGACATCTGAGAACGAATGTAAGTAGTTGATTGATACACGATATAAATATTAGAAGAAAAGAAAAATTAAATGGAAAACAGAAAAAATTACTTTCCTAGCGGGAAAAGATGCCAAAATTATTAAAAACTGAATGAGATCAAGTTGAAGAAAAAATGCATGGCTTTAGATAATATCGGATAATATTGATTGTTTATTTTTCTTACTTTCCAGATGTTGATTTCCAAAATACGCTTAATATTGATTTAAATTCAACTGTAACTAGTCAAGAATACTCAAAAATTGTTGAACCATCGAATACGTGCACAGTGTGTCAAAAATCTTTCACTGGAAATAGACGATTGCAATTACATTTAGTAAAAAAGCATTCTGTTCGAACGGATCAAAATGTTGATAAAAAATATAATTGTGACAACTGCAATAAATCCTACACCACTCGTTCGAATTTGCTCATACACATCGAGTGCTCACATACAGGTTAAGGTGTTTCATCGTGTTTTTAGAACTATTTGAAATGTTTTTTTTTTAATATTAAAGGTATCAAGAAATACAAATGCAGCGAATGTGGTCGAGCGTTTCACAAAGAAGGTTCACTAATAAATCATAGTTCAATCCATACGGGATTAAAGCAATTTAAATGTGTCGATTGTGAGAAATCATTTACGACCGCAAATATATTACAGCAACATCGCAGAAAACACTTGCAATCCGATCGACCACATAAATGCTCCAGTTGCCCTGCAGCTTTCTATACGCAGTATGACTTGAAAATCCATTGTCGGACACATACACGAGAGAAACCGTTTTTATGTTGTCAGTGTGGTAAACGATTTTCGCGAAAAACACATTTGAATATCCATCTGAGTAAGAGATTTGCTGTTGTTTGGTTTTTATGTTTGCGGAGCTTTACATTCGATAGAACTTTTTTTTCAGGAATTCATTCAGGTGAAAAACCCTTCAATTGCAATTTTTGCGATAAATCGTTTGCATTGTCCGGTGATTTAACAGCACACATTCGAGTCAGTCTTCTTAGCGAAAATTTACTTTTATAAATCGAATAAACAATTCATCATTTGAATTTTAGATTCACACCGGAGATAGACCATATGACTGCAGCGTGTGCCAAAAGAAATTCAATCAGTCAAGTGCCAGAAATATTCACATGAGAGTACACACTGGAAAACGGAATTATGTTTGCCAAATTTGTAATTCGGCCTTCACACAATCGGCCAGCTTAAAAAGACACATGAAAAGTCACATCAATTCGGATTTATATGAACATTCGAACGATGACAATGTTTTTGTTAAATAAATACATTTTGTATGTAACGGTATGAGAAACACGTGTCTCTTTTCTATCGAACAATCATAATGAACAGTCAATTCATCATTCAAATAAATAAATATAGATTTGAGTGCATAAAAGGTGATTCATCAAGGATAAAAAGAAAGAAACACATTTAAAAATCATAAGCAGAAGTGTTATGACTTACATATACATTGCTTTCAATAGGGGGCGCTATTCAATTCAAATGCTCATTTCCCTCTTATTATAACGAGTTAAGAGATTCAAAGTGAACAAATTCTAGGTACAAATTAGACGAAGTAAAAGCTTTCAAGTCGTTTTTATTAAAATAAAAAAGAGCGTTTTTTTTATAAAATTCACGATGAAATCCAAATAAAATGTTCTTGTTCAGCTCAAAATCATTTCAGCTCAACAATCGCTTTACTTTCGATTTCTATAGGGAATTGGTTGACACAAGTGAAAACTCCAGGTTACTGCATCTCAAGTATCTGATGTAAACGAGTTATTCACTATTACAGTGAACAATTTCTGAAGAAAAAAAGATCATTTCTCACTCTGTCGTCAAAATGGCAAGCATATTCTTCGAAGTCGTTAAAGTTCAACACATCTTTTAGGAACTTCTTATTCCAGGAAAATAAAAAGGACATGAGATACGATGCTGTATAAAATCGGATTATGATTGATTTTCTGCTATTAACATAATTTTATCTTCTAGAAGTTGAACTTTTCCTTAAAGAACCCATTCCTATTTACAATTTACTCAACCCAGATTTTTTAAATACCAAAAATCATCGATTCTCGTTACTCATTCATCTCTTGAATCCAATGGGGAAAACTTTTCATAAATATGAAAATAAAATATGTGAAGTGATTCGGTGAGGTGCGTGAAAAACTTTGGTAAACTCTTTTTGATATACAATGCTTTTGCCACATTGAACAATTACGGATATTTGATCGTTTGATTAAAAAAAATGTCGGATTCAAAAGCGATACAATGCGGAAAAAAGTGGCAGCAAAATTTACATCCAATATAACCGTAAATAATTTTCATCGCATATATTTCATGTTATCATGGTTCTAAATCAACTTCACTTACACAAAAAAATATAAGCAAACCTTTTCTGCCACATGTATTTTTGTTCATTTCTTAACATAAAAAGCAATAAATAACATCGATAGCATCATTGTTAAATCATTCCAAAACAAAATGATATTGGGTACCGAAAATGCTGCGAAACAAAACAGAATGTTTGTTCCATTTCAATTATGAGCAATTTTTTGTATTATAAAAGCAAGCAAATTTGCGTCTAATCCAAAAAAATGTTTTGTTGGCAAATTATTAAAACCAATTTAACTGAAAGTGGATGAAATTTCTTTGTAATTCGAATTTAATTAAAAATTAATTGCTAAAAAAGATTTCTGTTCATTCGAATGTATTAATTCAAGTATGTGTTGCCGCATCACAAATCTAAAGCCATTTACATTTAAAAGAAGTATCCAGCTGTGCGAATCACATTCATAAGTATGGGTCGAGTTGCGGACGCGAAAATTCGATTTCATTAAAGTAAAGTAAGGTTTAAACATTCAAATTGTTTGATGCTACGACGGCCGCTGCTTCTGCTTTAAATGGGCAAAAGAAAAAAAAAACAGCGCGAACAAATAATTTTCGGCATCAAGATAAAAATATAAAATCGTGCCAAGAAATGCGAGTGAATAAAATCCACGTGAAACGATGCTGTAGGTGTAGATTATGTTGAGCACTTTTATTCCCATTTCTCGCAGGAATAGTCAACATTAAAGTATGGCACACGAGAGATATGATTTTCAACGTTTTATTATTAAAGGATAAATATTTCGTATCGTCGGCATTCAAACAATTTGCGTATGGATAAAGAACCAGGTGCGTTCCGTTCTATAGAGCAGCTGATTCACGTAATCAGATGAAACAACATTGGCTTACCACGATAAAAGAGTTGAACAAAAAAAAAAAACAACAACAACAACGGGAAAATTTAATACACGTAGAAGGATATGATTTGAAAAAGCCTTCATTCGTGACATGGTTTGTACATACATCTATATTTTGTAGGTTAATGCCAAAACCTTGACCTATATCTCATGGAATACAACGTGCGCACACTGCCAATTCTCGTCAACAATAATCCAGCCAGACGGCATGGAACCTACGCAAATTTCTCGAATTCGAAAATACACTCATAAACCTGTATAAATAAATGAACTTGTTGCGGTATATCCTGATAGAAACGTGTTATATAGTAATGTACAGTGCATACAGCAACAGCGTGCAGAGTACACAGCACAAACAAAAATGGATGAATTTATACTGGTGTTCATGGCAGAGACGGTGTGGTTACATTCGGTGTTTAACAAGCAAAATGTGGTTCAATCCGTCCAATTGTTTGTAACTAGGCTCACTTAATGTTCTGCATAAAGTAAATACTATCCATCTTATGAATGCATCTGAGTGTATATATCATCAGCACAAAGCAGCTGATGCAATACAAAAAGCGAATCGTAAGTATGTCTTATTGTATTATGTCATCACTGAGAAAATGCTTGTTTTATGCGAGGCTACATTTTTCTCTTCTGCAACGGAGATGGATTCAATTTGATTTTAGCTTGCCATTGGATTTATTTAAAATTTTATATTTCAATTGAATTTGTTTGCTTTTATTCAGTTTTTGCTCTGTACTTTTTAATACAAGGTTGAAATCCGGGTGTCTTTTTCCAATTTTAAAATGGATTCACCCATTTGTTTTACAACTCCTTCCATTAAAAATGTACAGCGAAAAAGGAGAAAACACAACACGAATGTAACCCACTTTGAATGTGAGCCGAAGAGGGAAAAAAATCGTCCAATGTAAACAACTCGTAATATTCAATGCATTGACAATATCAGTGTATTCTAATTAAATAAAATGCTCTTGTGAACAGAGTCGGCTATCACACTGGGTCGTCTGTATGAGGCTTCGGATTCCAAATTAACACAGCATCTAACATTCCATTTTAGCCATTGAATTATTCAATTAACACGATCTCACGGTGTGTAATAAATGGTGGCAAAACCATCAACTCTGAATGTGACTTTCCTCAAAAAGATTTCATCTAGCACTAATGCATCTCACACTCACTCTGCATGCAAGCAAATTTTCCAACATCGAATTACAATGGGCGACCGCTTTTTAAAGCGGCACACACACACAACACATAATTGAATATCCGATAAAACATCAACATATTGGCTCATAAATGTGTCACAATGCCATTTATTTGACAGGTGTGTTTCATCGGTTAAAATTAAAATCGAATGGAAGGTGTGATGATGCAAACTCGACAGATATTTCAACTAGAAACATTTACGTTGTTCATTAGCACAATGGGTGAGCCATTGAGAACCATCTGCTTCGAATAATTTACAGATGACCTCATCAGAAATTTCCACATTTTCTTGTGCACCATTGACACTTTAATCACACACACAACGATGATTGAAATCCAATGAATCGAATTGAATGTTTTATTAATCAAAACATTTCTAGATTATTCGATTTGATTGTGTGCTCGGCAGAGATTTGATGCGCACTGTACTTGAGTGATAACGGATGTGCTTGGAAATGCTTCACGTATGTACATTTTCCGTCCGTTTCCTTCCATATACTTTCATTCCAGTTCAGTTAAAATGTTCATTTACATTGATAAGAGCTAGAAACTGAAAAACAGCATAGGTAACACTGGATTTCATTACTTGGATATAACGATTTTAGGATTGCGTATAAGCTTCATTCCACATTGAATCGCATTTCGTGCATGAAAGGGGTGCGAATTGAGATTTGAAGTTAAAACCATTTCCGTTCCGTTTAGAAGCGTTTGAATGCAAAAATTCAATGCAAGACGATTAGAAGACAAGAGAGGAAAGGGCAAATTGGTTCACTTGTCTAGCTTATGCGTGTTCAATAGCAAAAACCAGCAAAAAATAGAAAAAATAAAATATAAACCAAAAATGCAGACCCATTGTGAAGTTTAAAGAAAAAAAAAAACGCTTGAATAGACGGATTTCGTTTGTAATGCTTGATTGCATATGGAGGTATTGCGTCGAAATTTTTGCAAAATATCCGATTTTACAATGATATCCATATTCATGCCAATAAATATCGTGCATTTCTTTTCTGAAAACTGTTCGATGCCTAACCAAAGTAAAAGTGAACACGCAACGAATTTTATATTTTCTTCATATTGTTCTTCAGCACAATGTTCATTTTACGTGAGTCACTCCCCCTCTTTGCCCGGGAGAAAAAAAAAACAATGAAGACATTTTCGGTAGATATTCTCTACATTTTCTATTTGATTTGGGTCTATCGCGTGTGGTTTAGTTACATGTTTGCGTATTGTCTTCGACGTCTGATTGCACCGACGGAGTAAACAAAACTTAAAATGGAAACATAAAACATCTGATTCAGTCGTCGCAACACATTATCACAACATTCCATAGTAGAGGTGAACGTTATTAATTCAATTTTTTTTTTCAAAAGAAAAATTGTTCCAACTCATGGTAAATAAGAACTCTTCGTTCTTTATGTCTCAGTAGATAAATGGTTGGGCAAAAATTCTATTCACCTCTAAGCAATTGAATTTCATGTTGATTCTTTTTTTCATTCAGTTTTACTGGTATGCAAATTCAGTACGATATTATTTTCTTTTCATTATGGTGTTTTTTATTTCACTTTTGAATACTACAGTGTTTCCGATGAAAAGTTCTGATAAAAGAAAAAAAAAACGAAAAGATGTGCTCATGACGTGCAGCTCTACTTCACACTCCTTGAGATTATAACTTGAACTGCGATTTTAAATATTGTGTGCGGTCAACATTTTTTTTCACCACATTGAATAATTCTCAATTTCTTACTCTCGGGCTTAGTTTGTTTTCATTGTTTTACTTTTAGTGTCGTGAAGCATTTTTGTCTGCTGCACAATGTCGAGGTCAAAAATGATAATTTCTTCGGCAAACATTACATTCGAGAACCGAAGCAAAATGAAAATAAATACTCCAGAGAGAGAGAGAACAAAAGGATCGTTGAAATGTTGTTGTTTCGTATTAAAATCACATTATACTTCATTGAAGATGTTTGAAGCGAACATTGACACCAAAAGTCAGTAGAAAGAGAAATTGCATGAAAATGGATGTGAACATATTGGAACTGGAGCCGCAAATGTTTCCCAGTCCATGTTTTGTTTGCTAAAGTAGCGTAAATGTGCGTGTATGCGCCGCGACGACCCATAACTCAAAGTGAAAAAGTAAAATTTCATGCGAAAACTTTTCTGCCAATTTAAACGAATATTGTATTCGCTATTGCACATTTAATCCAAGTGGTAATGGAACCCAAACCGCATATAAACCCAAACACCATCGTCCCATTTCAAGAAAGCTTTGAATATAAAAATGAGCATATTTTAACAACGACTCATCGTGAATTAAAATATTATTTATGTTATTTGCAACGTAACGAACGGCTGTATCATCATCATCACTATCATCAACAACTTGAGTGATTTTGCACCCAAAAATTAAAACGGCTTTTATCTACCTCTCTAAACCAATGCCAACGTACACACTTCGGTAGATACGATATGGTTTCGTACAACTTAACACAATATGAAACGCGCTTAGCACCCAGCTCTATATCCTCCTCTTCGTGTGGATTTTTGGGTTGACAACATACTTAAGTCTTAACCAATCTCTCTTCTCTCTCTTTCTTCAAATCGCAGTTTGGTGAAGTTATTCGTATTCACAACAATGTTTGTCATCGGCTGAATTTTTGCGGTTCATAAAGATAATGCTAAATACCGCAAACTTTCCCGAAAAATATGGTTCATATGCATTTCATTTCGATGGTACTCATCGTTGAGCCAGTTTAGGGATAAAACAACCGAAAATGATGGTCAATTTCGTACATTTAGACATTAGGTGAAATGGCTTTGTGGCATATTTGCTGCCATTGCATAAAACAATCGTTCCATACTTGATGATGACTGAAAATTATCACCATCGGCCACATACCAGCACCGCTTAGGTTCCCATAAAATTGATTTGTGTGTTGTACCAAATGTTCAAATGTTCAGCTGTGCGGTTTATTCATGCAACACTCAGCAAATGACATAAATCGATTGCCATCATTGACATATGGCCACTGAATTTCTGTCGTTATTTTTTTTTCTTCCTCTGGCCATGTACCTATTTCACGTAAAAATGAGATGAACCCATAACAATAAGAAATACGGTTTACACTTCTAATACCATGTTGGCTATAATGTTATTTCTTTTATCTTGTGTAACCGAATGAAAGCTTTCAGATTACAGTTACATTGACTCATCCACAAAAATAGTTAGTTTTTCACCGTTTTTTTTTTTTTGTATTTTTTTGTATAAATTCCACATTTTGTCGTGTGCACATCCGTCCACCCAAGAAAAAAATGTAAATATCAAACAAACAAAAAAACTATTCATAACTTTTTGTTGATGCTCGTCTATTTGCATCATGACACATTGTCAAAGGTATAAACGAACAAGGAATGTAAATGCATGATATCGGTACGCTGTGTGGATGAAGCGAAGAAAAAATTTCAGCAGTTCACTGTTCTCAAAGTGAAGTGAAAGTTGTCAAACCAAACGTGTATCTCTATTTGTTCAATGTTTTCTAAGGGAATTGTTCATGAACCAAGCGAATGGCTCAAGTTCAGCATCCAATACATAGAAGAGAGCAAAACGAAAATATATGAGGAATGTGTATATAGCATAGCTATATCAACGTTTTTCGCTCCAACACAAATACGCACCCCGTATTGTGACGAACATGAGTAAATCAGATTCAACAGCGAATAAAACCATTTCCATGCTGACTCTCCTCTTCGTTTCCACTGCATGAGCATTTCGATAGCGCGGTATGAATTTTGCACAAAATTCAACAGACGCAACGAAATCCATTTCAGTACCGTTTGGTGCACTGAAGCGTTCGGTTGGTTTTTTTTGCTTTTAACAGAGTCAGAGTCGAACAATTTACTCCTGTGTATTAAGAAAAGAAATTAAATCGCGAGCTTTGCTGAGGCACTTATATTATATTGTGATGGTGCTTTTGAATTTTCTTTTTTAAATTCAGTTTTTTGCTTCTTTGCGTCGCAGATATTTTGCAGCAATTTAATTCATTCGGTGAGATATTTTCATTCCACATCTCTTCTAATCTTTTGAATGAATGGACACGTAATCACAATTAACGTTAATTTTTTTAAAAAAATCAAGTTGCATTCTTTATTTATTCTTGAAGATGATTGTTTTTTTATTCTTATGTTTTGTACGTAAAACAACACGTTTGTATTTTTTGCATGCTACTTTTTCTTTTTTATGCAATTAAAATAAATACTTTTCCATTTAAATACTAATTGCGAATAGAGAGATAGGGACGAATTTCATTTACGGTTGTTGAATGTGCATTTTTTGTGTCTTTTAATTAAATCTATGTCCATCGCCTTTGTATATGAATTATGTGATTTCAGAGAGAATTCATTATTTTTTTTTATTTCTCGGACTTTTTTTCATATATTTATAAGAGTCAGACGTCATTTTCTCATCAATAAAGCATATTTCATTTTTGATTTGCTTTGATTCTCACAATTTACTGAAACTTTGTTCAATTCATTGTATTAAATGGAAATTCAAATTTGTCTGTGAACTGTTGGTTTGATACGAGTGGCAAATTCCCCCAAATTCCATTCTAGACTGAATGAGTGAGCTTTGATTTTAGCTTTTTTGTTTGTTCATGAATGACTGGACAAAAAAGAGATCAATTAAAACTTTGTTTATTTTACTTGTTATTTGTAAATCAATGCAATATACAATTTATCATACAACACAAAAAGACTAAATATAATTTTGTTTTCTGTTACCGAATACGAAAAGAGAATAAATGAAATTAAGTGAATTTGGCGAGTCGGTAAAGAACATATGATATAATATAATTTCTAAAGAAAAGTTCGATATGCATTTGATAACATATTAGTAATTAACGTGCGCTTTTTCGGTTTTGTAACACAGTCATGGTTATACCAGTTATTTTCTTCCATTTGATTTAATTTTGGCAATCAAAGATGTCGAAATGAAAATGAAAGTGAATTAAACGATAATGGCTATCGCAACGTTTTACGTTCCTTAGCTAAATAATAATTAATTGTTTTGTATTGTTGTAAATCATCACTGTAAATACAATACATACTATAGCATCGCAATAAGAGCATTTCGAGAATGCCTATTAAATTATTATATGTTATGTGGAAGTATGTGGGTAATATACAGTTTCAATATACACAGTTTCAAGTTATTGAAGTGTTTTACGCTTATGATTGAAATGCTAGCAGATATGTGATTAAAAATCAATTTCAATTGATTGAGTGCCAATTCAAGCATCATTCCATTCAAAATGCATGTTCAATCATCAAGCTTTCATCACTTGAAATTATCGAATGAAAACTTTCGTTTTGCCCATGGCAACAAACTTTACTACTTCAATATTGTATTTATTTACGCCATGATAGCTATTCGAAGTGCTGTGGTATGATGTGTAAAGACGATTCTTTTGTGCTTGTTTCGTGTCGTTTATATTCTTGTTAGTTTGATGGCTACAAGCATTTTGGTATGAAAGTGGCAAAAATAGAAATTCTCAGCGCGAAACACACAAAAAGTCAGTCAATGATAATTGTTCTTCCTTAATTCTTAGGGCACGAGTCAATGTCAACTAGACACTTAGTTTCCTTCGAGTTTTTCTTTCCCTCTCTCCATTCAGGTGATGAAATCAATGGGAAAATCTTCTTTTTTTTCTACTTTTAATGGTTCAGTGCAGAAGTATATTTCATGTCATTTCTTTGGTTTCTTTTCAAGATTCGCCGAGTCCATTGTTAGGCTCAATATGAATTCGATTCAATTGTTGGTTGTCATTCAAATGTGTTATCTACACCATATGTTACCGCAAACATACATGGCACAATTCAATTCATACAACATAACAAGAGAGCGAAAAAAAGAAAATTGAATGAATCGCAAACAAATAACGATGCCATGGATCGAACTAAAAATGCCATACACCAACCCATTTTGAATTGCATCTGCCTCTGGGTGGGACAATAGGACAAAATTGCTTGATTTAATGAGTTTGTTTTCGATGGTGATGTGAAACACCATTGGTAACTGTCATCAATCTACAATGCATTATAAAAGTGCCAACGTCAAACAAACAACATTTTAATTGTTACGCTGAAAAGCTTTCAATAAAAACAAAATGAATATTCATCATCGATTGCCATGCATCGAATCCAAATTGAATGTTTCATTTATTAAAAGCCAATCGACACGTACAGTTATATCAAATTGAAATGCGAAAGCTGGTTACCACTTTTTGTTGTGGGTTTAATTCATAACGAATTGCCTGTATCCACAAAATTGTGAATAGAAACTTAAACATATTGGCTCCTGGACGATGAAAGAAGAAAAAACCATTCAACCCACAATTAGAACGATTCAAAATGTTTTCACATTCAACGTTACGTGCCTACTGTAGAAAAATGTTCACTGTTGCATTAAACTCAAGTGGGAGAATCTGTATACAATGTGCAAATTCATCGAGCTCTTAAAGTGCACCGAGCACGTTCATTGAGATTGTTTCTTACATTTTAATGGTATAGCAAAAGACTTTATCTAGTGGAATGTAGATAAAAAGTTTTCTACATTAGTTTTGAAAGAAATGTCACAGCATCGCCTACATGCATAAATATTCAAATGGCAACATTTTATCTCAATTTTTATAAAAGTAAAATGATTTCGTTCTATTTTCCAAGAAAATTCAAACTAAATTGAACAACATATGGAAAGAGAGACGAAGCTATGAATTAACTATGTCGGGAATGGGAGAAAAGGGATATACTTTTTTTAGCAGTGTTCATTTCAGTCGTGTTCGTTTTTGTTACGAATCAATCACAGTTACACAATGCAGAAATTTGTTTGGAAATATTCATTTTCTTTAGCGGCTTCGCCCAAAATTGGTTCTTTGACACAAACATAAATCGTATCGTAAAACCACGAATTTGTTATTGTCGTGCCGAATGTATAAATCAGATGGGGGTAAAAGTGTCGCTCGTTTATTGTAATGGACTTTCCCTTTTTGCCTGTAACCAATTTATGCCACGCGATCACTTTGTTCACATTTTTTGCTCATTGAATGGTTTTCAAAAAAAATGTGTTCGATTTTTTTGTTTACACTTCTCTTGTGGCAGTACTCATTTAGCCTTAATTCATATTCGCTCTGTGAATGAGTTCGGTCGGAGAAAAAACTTGATTGTTATGCATATATTCAATTACAGCGGATAATCGAACACTTTCCTTTGAACATTCCAATGACGAAGCATCTTGAATGTGACATTTTGACACATATAGAAGCCTAATGACAAATTTGAACATGGCCCTTTTTACACAAATTTCATCTGTTGTTAGCTCAATTTTCGTCATTTATGAAAACTTATCGTTTTCAATCATTTGCATTTTGTGGCCGAACCAAAAAGCGGTCATCCAACGACGTAAAATTTGCATTGTAAAAATGTCACTTCGAAAATATATTTATGAGTCCAGTGGTTGTGGTTGAGAAGAAATTGTCAAGGACGTGCTGCCAATTTCAAGCATATGTAAAATCGTATGGTGTGGCAGTTAGCACTCATTTCCCAAATGGATTTTCATTGGATAAGCTAAAGAACATTCATAAATGATGAATACATTAGGTTTTTCTTTTTTTCCATATAATCTCCTGAGCAGCTACTACCCAATAATATTACCCCAAAAAAGGCTAATAAGCTACGTGCAAATTGCTTCGTTCGGTCATTTGCAGTATAGTGCAAATAAAATTAATGATTTGAAATACGGGCAAGGAAAAAGACATACGGTGTATAATGCATACATTATATGATATATACGCGTAACACACACACACACACACACATAACCGGTCGATTTCCATATATATACTATTTTGTTATGCTTATTGCTTAACGACCAGACGAAACAAAATGTTAAAGGCAAACATAGCGATATTGACTGAGCTTATTTGCTTTTGTTTCTTGTGCACACTTTTATCACGTCGAATGGCGTGCTTTGCTGTCATTTTGATAGATTATCTAAGCTTTCGAAATTCCAGAATGGGTCAGTATCCGAATATTCGAAAAAGATACACGAACCAATCTGTAAAAAGAGAGAGGTTCTTCGCTGACAACGTTGCGAATTGCATCAGCAGCAGCATCATCATAGTCATCATCAGAACAATGCCTCATAAATTATTCTCAAAGTCACATTGATTCTGTTTCGTCGATATTTTTATTACCATGCACGACGACAGTCTACCATTTCTATTTGATTTATTAAAGATACCCGCAATAGCGAACGATTCGAAATAATAACTCAAATTCACGAACGATTTCATTCCAGCTAGACTATTTGTGCCGATGTGTTGATGTAAATTGCATAAAACACCATAATTCGCTAATAATTTAATGAAGTACAGTCAACACTCAACTGTGTGAAAAGTTTGCATTCACATTTTTAGTCTCATTGATTGCTTTGAAATAATATAACAAAGCCTGTTTTTAAAAAATCAAAAAGCAAATCAATTCGCAATAGTCTCATCTCATTTGTGATTTGTGTATTCATACCATATCATATAATGGGCATGTCCAGACAAATATTTATTATTGTTATTCTACTTCAATATTCTAGAAGTAAATCTTCCATGAGATGTGTTGACTTTTAAGTGATCGAGTGTTAACTGTATATGAAATGCTTGATTGCTTAAATGAAATATGGAAATTCCAATGTAAACGGTTGTGTTGTTCGCCAAAATACCGTTTACGAACTTTCCAGATTGAACCTAATACGGTGTAAAAAAAAATGCCATTTCTTGTTAGCAATAGAGAAAGTCATGGGTGAGCTCACGCGTGCAGTGTATGCAAATGCGAAACGACAACTGATGTTTTTATTGCTTGTTCACACAACGATGGTACATTATACGTATTCGATGGTAACATTCTCAACACTCTCATTTTTAAATGTATTCAAAAGCCTTTTAGCTCAGCCTCCGGCAATTACGATGTCATCGCCCTTTTTTTGCACAAAATATTTCG